CCCCACGTGGACAATTCGGAGGAGCATCCACTTGTCCCCACGGGTAGCCAGTTGAGTAATGCACACTCGGACTGGCTTTCACTTCTTTCGCAGTTCTCTCTGCCCCATCTCCGTGCTTCCACGTCCTTAGATAACTTCCTAAATAAACGACCTGCAAGGAAGCTGTCCCAGGTTCTGCTTTGGAGGAAGCCCAAGCTCACACCTGCTTAATGCAGGAGCAGCTAGATCCTGCAAGGGAGGAGGAGGCTGGAGACTTTAGAGGGCCCAGAATGTTCCAGGCTCTCATTAAGCCAGCAGCCCCTGCCCAAAGCTCATGAAGCTGTCGGAGGACAAATTATATCTTGTCTAAAAAATACTTTAAGGTCCTGTGTGAGAGGTCGGAAATAAGAGGAAAGCTAAAAGAAATGAAGTTTGTTTAGCCTGGAGAAGAGAAAAGCAAAAGGTTAATAACTGACTTCCTAAAAATAAAAGGCTACTTCTCTGTGTTGACTGACAGGGAAGGATGGAGCTGAAGAGGAAGTTCGTCCATCAGTATTCTCCCAAGGGCGAGATGGCATCTCCGGGTGAAGTAATGAGCTCCCTGTCATTGGAGGTATTCAGCACATGATCGGTGAGCAAACTTACTGGGGATAATGTGGATAGGATTCATTCATTGGACAGAAACTTTTAAAGTTGTTTCTTCCGTAGATCCCTGTTTAAAAATCACACAGCCTTTTCAAACTAGGATTTTGGTAGGATGGGTCTGCCCCAAAAGAGGGAATACTAACTGATATGTAACCTCATAAACTCTCCCATTCCAACAACATTCACAACTGAAGTCTATTGTAGTTCTGAGGTTTTTCCGGAGCTGTTTTTTTTTTTCTCACGGGGTCTTGGCGCCACCTAGTGGCTATTTTTTGCATTACAACATATGCCTGTGCTAAAATAGTCTATTGTACAGTTTAATACAAACACCAACAAATTTGATTAACGTAGCAACAAGAATATATTAAACACAAGTTATGGGTTAGGCAAAGCGCTAGAATCTGAGGAACAACAGTAATCAAATAAGACAGTCTCCTCTTCAGGAGGCTCACAGACTAATGGAGTAGGCAGTAAACAACAAAAAATCATTATTGTGATGCCATCAGGAAATAAGCCCCCGTTGATGGAAAATAATGGAGGCAGGAGGCAGCCTCTCTGAGAATCATAAATTTAAGCCCGGAAGGATGGGATGAGAGGGAACAGGAGGGCAGGAGGCTTGGGAGGCTGGGGCGAGAACGTTCCAGGGAGGCAGAGCACAACTCCTGCCAGGTGGTGCAGGCACCAACAGCTGGTCTATTGAGCCAAGGAACCGAAAGACCAGCGTGACCACCGCAGTGAGTAAGGCTGAGAGGGGGGCGATGAGGTGGAAAGGTTCCGCGTTTGCAGACAGTTTCTTTAGTGAAAGCACGCGGATGGTCATGGAGGGTTCTCCAGAACCGTACCTGACTAAAGGGTAGTTTTTAAAAAGAGAAGGGAAATGCCATCACGTAAACGTGGCTGTTTGCACAGTTCCAGCAGGACCCTATCCACGGACATCCATCAGTGACAGCTTTGTGCCCCAGTCAAGACAACCTATGTCTGCTCCTGCCCTGCGTGGCTCCCGTTACTAAGAGGTTTCGGGTCCTTGGCTCATGACAATGGAACTTCATATTAAAAGGATGAAATAGTGGTTCTCATCCCCGGCTACAAGTCACCTGGGAGCTCTTGAGAGCCCCAGTGCCCAGGCCACACCCCTGACCAATTAAATCAGCACCCCTGGGGGCGGGGCCTGGGCTCCCGGGCTGAGAAAGCTCCCCCGTGATTCCAGCGTGCAGCCGAGGTTACCAAGAGCTGATCTGGAAGGATGCTCCCTGAGAGAAAACAAATGAAAACGACCTCATTTTGTACCCTAAGAAGTCAAGGCCATGTGAGTCATGAGCCAGGCTGTTTTCGTGGTAAGACCAGGCCGCTTCCCCAGATGGAGGCCCCACCCGGACCACCCAGCCCTGGCCACCAGGCTCTCCTGGAATTCCCCCCGCCCCCCAGCTGCCCCACAACAGACCCTGTGAGCAGGGCCTGGTCACAGCACAAGAGCTGTACGTTTTCCCTGGCCTTGTTACTCACTCACGCTTTCCCAAGGTGCAGGGGATCCAAAGAGCCAGACTCCTAAAGCCGCAGTCCCCAGCCCAAGTCACACATCCGATGGCCTAGGAGCTCCTGAGAAATCCTGGTGCTTAGGCCTACCCCGAGACTGGGGCCAGGCTCGGGCTATCAGGTGATTCTCACATAGCACTGTTGTCAAAGTCTGCCCCTGGGGTCCTCCATGCTCTGGGGTGACCAGAATCGCTACTGTGTAACTGGGATTGCTGCTCCGGGTTACCTTCTATCATCTGCTAGACAGCCCAGTCCTGGGCCTGGCATCTGTGCTCCCCAGGCCTCGGATTGGCTGGCCACAAGCAGACCAGTTAAGGCCACTCGGGGGGTCCACCCAGCCATCGACTTTCCACCTCACCACCTCCCACTGGCTGGGAAGAAGAAACTCACCCTGGGCATGTAGTGTGCAAGACAGCAATGCTGCATGGAGTACCAGATACACCTGCTAGCTTCCTATTTCTGGTAAAAGGAACATGAACATTAGGATTCCTGCTAATCAAGCTTCATGAGGAATTGGCAACATGCACTCACACCGCTCATTGTATTGTATAGCTTTTTATGTGGGCGACTACGGATGCTGTTTTCCTTAAAAGGAAACTACAACACACATCTCAAAGCCTAGAAGGATGTGTACCACAAAGGTACAGCGGTTACCTCTGGGGGGTGAGAATCCAGGTGATTCAGTTGTCATTGTCACTTATCTGCATTTTCTAATCTTTCTATGATGAATATGTATTATTAATGGAAAAATATTACTTATGTAAGACAAAGCAGAGGATCATCACACAAGAAAGAATCAATGCTGTTTTGCGCACAGCTCAGGGGCAGAGCTAGTCTCTGGGCATTCCACTGCCGAGCCAGCATATTGCGCGCTCCCCGACTTCGGGAACTCCGCAGTCTGGCCCCCTTGACCAGCAGGCAGGGGACGCGGTGTACTGCCCGTGTCCTGATTAGCTCAGCAGGCATCCAGTAGGAGCAAAATAAACACATTCCAGTATGTTCCATGAAACTAGTGTTTTCTGAATAGCTACTATGCAAAAAAAAAAAAAAGGGCGGGGAGGGACATCTGAGAAGGACATCTCCTTCCTGCACATCTGCAAATCCTCGACTAGACCAGCAGTTGTTGAGGATACGGCATACAGCTTTCCCCAGAGTTAGTTACCGTGGAACACTTTTTTCCAGGAATACATTTTGGAAAACGCTAGTCTACCTTCTAGTGCACAGTTCTGACCCGCCACCTGGAGTAGGCATGGCCTGTCCCTTGCAGCAGGAGTGAGCAGCAGGCCCCAGGTCCGGGGGCCGCACAGGGCGCGGCTCAGGGACTCACAGCACACTCAGGCTCCTGTCACCAAGCGAGCTAGGCCACAGAGGAAGTGGCTTAGAGCCTAGAAAATAAACGAGGAATGCTCCAGTAAATAGTCACAACTGAACATCAGGTGACAATTTATTGTTTACAGACACCACTAGGTTCCGCTATTTTTTTCAGTCCCATTTGGGTTGGACACAAATACGTTCAGAGGCATGGTGCGAGGGAAAATACTGTATGATTTTAAAAACAACAAACAAAAAAGCCCACTCAAACCCTGCTAGGAATTTATGGCAGGAAAATAAGGGACTGAGGGTATGAGTGAGACATACACGGTGACTAAAAGTTTATGATCATCTCATTTCTCTGCAAGTAAAGAAAAGCCACAATGACCTCGCCCTTCCTGGGGAACAGGACGAGACCTGTCCTATATACGGCTCAAAATGTCAGGCGGACAACATGACTGTGTGAAACTTTAAAAACAGCCTGTCGTTTTAGTCGGCACTTTGCACAGGTATTGTACTCTATGGCCACATTTCCCAAAGAATGTTCCTAAGAATACTGCTCCTACAAGGTGCTCCTGGCAAAAGGAGTCTGGCATCAAAAAGATTTAGAAAATATTAAGAGACTATGGACTACCCGCTTCCTGGAGATTCACAAAGCACATTATCCCATGGAAGCTTCTAGAAGTCCTTTAAAAAGAAATGCTTAACTGTGTTTAACCCAGTTTCGCAAATCAATCTGACCTTGGAATCTCTTAGGGGCTGCGGGGGGGCGGGGGTTAACATAGTTCATAGAACGCATTTTTTAAATACTCCTCTATGGCTTTGAGAAATTCCCTGTAGAAACAAAAAGCTCAGAAAAATTAAGTAAGGCTGAGGACCATGTGTTGGTCAACAATGAAGAGGACAGGGGTGTAAAGAACAAGAGACCCCCATTGTAATTCCCCCCTCACGCTTTCCCCAAAAGCCAAGCCTGCCTGAAAGGGGGCAGCGGTAAATGCCCTGTGACTTCCTCCTTTATGGTGTCAAATGTGAGGCATGCTGATGACAGACAGAAACGAACATGGCTAGATGAGGGCCCATGTTTCATGTACAAAGGCCAGATGTTTACAGTCTTTCCCTTTTCTGTAACAATCAAATCATTAAACCACCATTGTTGCTTATCACATGACTACAAAGTTTTAAAACAGACTTGACAGCCCTTTGTTTCTAATTAAAAAAAAAGGGGGGGGGGACGAGAAAACATTATTCAGCAGGAATGACACAGACCAAGAAATCATAACAGAACAGCTTTTGGCTGTATATGCCAAATAATTTCAAAGTATCACAGTGAGAACAGAAAAAGATGGAAATCAATGAGATTACTAGAATGATGTAAACATTTCATCTATTTGCATAGTACATAATTTTTTATTCTTGTTTCCAAAGGATGTCACATGATATTTCAAAAGAAAGGACAGCTGAAACCAAACCCTCCAAATGGGGGACTTGGCAAACAGCTATCATCCATGCCCTGCAAGGATGCACACAGGCATTCACACCTCAATAGCTATCCTTGCAAATCGATACTGCAGCGAGGCGGGGGGCCTCAGTAACACCAGGCCCCTCTCCGCTGCCAGCTGCCCGTGCAGCATATCCAGCAAGCCCGTCAGGCTAACAAACCCCAGGGCTTCCCCACAGCCCACAGCCATGGAAAAGTCTCCCTGTGTGACAAAGCCCAGGAGGACCCTGGAGCAGTGGGAAGTCACATCGGGGAGCGGGCCTGCCCACAAGCCCGAGGTCAGAGCTGGGTGCCCCGCGGCAGGGTCCCCCGCCGTCAGGCCCTCAGACATAGCCTGCCCGCGGTTCGGCCTCTTTTCTCTTTTCTTCTTCTCTTTCTGCTTCCGGATCTGGCTCTTGAATGGGTCGCTGTGCTTGGCTTCCTGGGGCCCACGGTAGAGCGGATCCTGACAGAGCTGGAAGAGGTCCTCCTTGGCCGGGACGCAGATCATGCTGTGCGGCTCCGGGCTGCCCTTCCGGAGCAGGGCCAGGCTGACCCACACCAGGGCCCGCGGGAAGCGGTCCAGGATGGGCAGGCAGGCCTCAGGGGTCAGTTCTTGCTGCCCCCTGCTGGGCACTCGCCCGGCTGCCCGACGGCCCCCAGGACGGGGCGTGCACCAGGCTGACAGCTGCTTCAGTGACGTTCTGCTCCTTCACATGTGAGGACATTTTGTTCAAGGAGAAAATAAGCAATTAGGAGGTTAGGTATTGCTAGAGGTAATTTAATTATTTATCCTCTGTGGGAAAGGATCACCTTTTTAAAAAATTAAAAAGAAACATTGATGCACTTTTGTAATCATAATTTACTTTTTAGGTCTCCACTATTCTGCAAAAGAAAGTCTAAATGTTTAAGAAGTTGAAGGAAGAGAAAAATAAGACAGTGGGATAGAATCTGGCTGTAATCACGGTGAGAGCATTGAAGAGGAACTAATATTTTGATTAGAATAGAAACTGTAAGGGAGTTACATGAACTGTAAAAACAGCCATGAAATTATGAAGTTATTGTACAGAAAAAATAAGTATTAGGGATCAGGGATGAGCACTTTTAAAAAAATCAGAGCACAAAATATGTAAGCAAAATCGGAGCACAGAATATAGAGTAATGGACAGGCAAAATCTGATAGCCTGCATCTATATTGATAGTGGAACACATTTTACATGATAGCCTCTATATGACAATATTACACTAAACTGATACAAACTGGCCACAAATTTAGATCATTCAAAAGGAATGAGAAAAAAATCTAAGTCCGTGGCTTAAAGCAAAGAACGCTAGCTCAGAGTTTGCAGGGCCCTTCATTTCCCTGAGATACGCTTGGGAAGGCCATGCTTTGTGAGCAAAGACTAAAGGAAATAGGTTGTTTAACATAACATAACTGTCTTGATTTAGGCCTACTGACGACACTCTTTCAAATCATTTCGTCAGTATCATGCCCCAAATCCAATGTGATTTTAGCTGTTTCCATGGGCCCTCTATGAAAGTCCAAAGACACACTTGGGCTTTGCCTAAAGCAACAGGGGTAACTTTTACAACCGGTAGCCTGGTCAGTATTAAAAGAGACAACCCAAAACGTATCCAGGAGTCGTGTGCACTTACCTGAGAACGCAGACGCGGCTGCCAGTGGCATCCTGGCCCGATACCCCCTCAGTCTCCGCCTGGACTGGACACTCTGTGTCCATTACTCCTGCGGGCTCACTGGAGTCGTGTAGGGATGTGTCCACTTCATCAGACGCCTGACGAGTTTTTTCAGACGTGGGAACACAAGGCACGTCGTCTCCTCTCAAGTCACTCTCCTCACCTCTCGGGGAGGAAGCTACAGGTGACTCCTCCTGGGCCTGGACTCTCGCTTCCCAGTCTCGAGTCAGCTGCTCCCAGGGACAGCAGAAAGGGGCTAGAGTGCCCAGCTTAACATAGTTGGGCCGTTTTGCAGGGGGGCGTCTAATGAAAACCAAAGAGGAGAGCCAGTTTTGAATAATTTAGGACTGGACAATTAAAATAATTATGGGTGTTATACAATAAAACAAAAACACGTTCTACTATGAAACAAAAACAAACATACAAAAGAGAGTTTTCTAAGAAATATAATAACGAAAAATAACCAACTCTACTGGCCAAGCTTTTCTGCTGCCTTCCGTTTTTGTTTTCACAGATAGTGCACCCACAAAGTAGCCCCACGTGGCCACTGCCCAACTCCAGGGAGCGCCATTCCCAAAGTCTGAAAGAAAAGGGTGTCCCTTGTGCAACGACACCCAGGCACATTTATAAGGTTCTCTGTTCAAATGGTACAGAAGGTGCGACGGTCAAGTTCTTCTCTCTCTCCTGACCCCTAGTGGCCCAGCCGCCTTCCAGAGAGACAGTAATGTTTCTCAAATATGCTTCCAGAGACATTTTATACACCTAAAAGCAGATACATACATGCTTCTTTTATTTTTTTGCCCATTTTATACACAACGGTGTCATACCACATACAGTCTTTTTGCCTGACTTGACTTTTTTCACTTAACAAAATATCTTGGAGATCATGCATATCAATATATCGGGATTTGTTATTTTGTAAAAGGCTGCACTTCTTGCCCTCGTCTAAGCAGATAGTCCCCTGTTGCAGAACAATCTGGTTACTTTCAATCTTTTGCTTCTACAAACAGTTACAATGAATGGTCTTGAACACACACAACTCCTGGACACGCAGGTGCTAAGGCAGAGTATTAGCATTTGCAATTTTGACAGATGGTCCCAAGCCGCCCTCCACAGCGTGATGCCCATCGGCCTTTCCAGGAATGTCTGAGTGAGGGAGAGCCTCTGAGAGACACCTAAACCAGTGAGAACCGGGTCTGCTCTGGTTCTCACTGACTCCATGAGGCAGGGAGCAGCCCAGCTGCTGGCCGTTCTGGGCTGGAAGGCCTCCAGGGAGTCGCAGGCTGTGTCCTCAGACTGACGGGCTCCCCGGGACAGGCCCAGACATCCCCTCCCCCACATACTTCTCTCTGTGTGCCGTGCCCTGGGACCTCACGTGTGTTCCCACATCCCAAGAAGGACAGCTGGTGAGTAAGTCCCAGGGTACCTGTCTCACCTGGAGACCTTTAACACGCTTACAAAATATATCCAACTTCACTAGTAAGCAAGAAAACAGCCTTAGTGCGGGCCTCCTTTTTGGATAAAAACCAGAAATCTTGTTTATGGGATTTTGCCTAAGGTCTGTGCTTTCCTTCCCCTCGAGCAGTGGCCATTCCTTCTTCACGCCTCCTGGGCCTCGGCCTGGGCCGACGTCCTCCTGATGCCCCAGACCAGTTTTCCTCCCCTTCCTCTTCCAAGCCCCCCGCTCTCCGGGGACTCACAGCACCCGGACACCCGCTTGCATTGCCGCCCTGCCCTCCCGAACTCCATCGCGACTCCTGTCCTTCTCCGTGACTTCGGCACCTGCATACGCCGTTCTTTTCATACCCTGGCCTCCCAAAAATGTTGGTCCTCATTTTGCGTCCTTCACTTCGCCCCACCTCGACCACCCATACCGGCTCACCCCTTCATTTTGGTCCTTGCTAATGCTCTCCACCCCGAAAATCTCCGTTTCAATTATCTTCCACTCAGAGGGAGGCCTCCCGTTTGCCTGTCCTCTGCAACAGTTCCTCAACCACCGACCCCTCCTATCCGTTTCCTCTGCCCTGTCCTCACTGCACGCCCCTGTCCCCACATCTCTCTCCTGATAAGCCTAGATTCCTTGGGTCACGTGAGCGTCACTCCCCCACATATACCCTCAGTTCCCTCCACTCAGCAAAGCCAATCCTGGTTACTTCCAACCTCCATCTTGCCTATGCCAGCCCCTGATTGGCAGAACACAGCTGGGGAAGAACACGCAAGTCCTGAATGGTCTTACCATAAACACAGGTGGACTCATTCACATTTCTCCAGTCAATTGCATCTTCTACTCTCCCGGAAAACTGTTTACACTGATCCCACTCTCCTCAGACCTCCGACAGCCTCTCCCCTCTTCCTACTCCTAGCTTATAACCTTGCTTCTTTTTTCACTGAAAAAATGGGCAAAGCCAGGAGAGTACTGCCAAGTCTGTCTGCCAGAGTTAAACCTACCTCAGTCTGTGCTCACACTGCAGCGAGTCTTGCCGCCTATGAAACTAAGCCTGCTCCTATGGAGTGCCCCGCTTTGAAATGAATAGAAAGTAAGATGGACTGTAGGGTAGACTGAGGGATGAACAGCAAAACGTGCCCTGGATGCCGCTCCTCATCCCTACTCTAGGACTTTGCTCTTGGAATTTTACTCTCTGTCCCTGCCCCTGGATCCCTCCTGCCAGCCAGGAAGCACACACTTCCATCAAGACTATAAGCTCACTGCACAGTGAAGGAAACCATCAACAAGGTGAAAAGGCAGCCCCTGCTGAATGGGAGGAGATTACTGGCAAATGATATATCCAACAAGGGGTTAATATCTAAAATATGTAAAGAACTCATACAACTCAACATCAATAAAATAAACACTACAATTAAAAAATGGGCAGAGGATCTGAATAGACACTTCTCCAAACTGGACATAGAGATGACCGAGAGACACATGAAAAAATGCTCAACATCACTAATCATCTGAGGAAAGCAAATCAAAACCATATCACCTCACACCTGTCAGAATGGCTATCATCAATAATTCAACAAACAAGTGTGGGCGAGGGCGGGGATGTGGAGGAAAGGGATCCTTCAGGCACTGCTGGTGGGAACGCACTCCGGTGCAGCCACTGTGGCAAACAGTATGGCGGGTCCTCAAGAAATTAAAAATAGAACTACCATGTTACTCAGCAATTCCACTTCTACCTGAAGAAAGCAAAGACTCTAATTTGAAAAGATACATGCACCTCGCCTGGAGTGCTCAGTTGGTTGGGCATCATCCCGCAAAGCGAAAGGTCACCAGTCTGATTCCCAGTCAGGGCACGTGCCTGGGCTGCGGGCTTGGTCAGGGCGTGTGCGGGAGGCAACTGATTGATGCTTCTCTCTCACATTAATGTTTCTCTCCCTCTCTTACTCCCTCCCTTTCTCTCTCTCTAAAAGTAAGTAAAATCTTAAAAAAAAAAAAAAAAGATATATGCTCCCCTACGTTCATTGCAGTGTTATTTACAACAACCTAAGTGTCCGTTAATAGAAGAATGAATAAAGAAGATGTGGCACATATACTGGAATATCACTCAGCCAAAAAAAATGTAATCTCGCCATTTGCGACAACATGGATGGACCTGGAAGGTATTACGCTAAGCAAAACAAGTCCGACAGAGAAGGGCAAACATGGTATGATTTCACTTATTTGTGGAATCTAAAAAACAAAACGAGTGAACAAAAAAAACAAAACCAAAACAGAAACAGACCAACAGATACAGAGAAACAAGCTAACGGCTGACAGGAAAAGGGGTAGGAGGAAGGGTGAAAAAGCTGACGGGGCCTAAGACGTATAAACGTCCCGTTATAGAGTGACTGAGCCCGGGGGTATGATGCGCAGTGCAGGGGACACAGTCCGGAGCACCGCGAAGCTCTGCGCAGTGCCTCGTGGTCATCAGACTTACCGCGGTGACCACTCCGTTAAGTGCGTAAATGCTGTGCACCTGGAACTAGCACTGCATATTAACAATATTGTAATGAAAAATAAGCCCAGTGAGGGAAAAAACAGACTTTGCCTGCCTTCTCCTGCTGTAGCCCCAGTGCTTTGAAAGGTGTTTGACAAACAATAGGCTCGAAATAATGTAAAGATGCATGTGGATGGCAATTCACAGAAGCACGCAGCAAAAAACCAGACATTACCTAAAGAGTCACTGATGAATTATAGTACATCTATACTGGGGGCCTGAGCAGCCATTCAGTCATATTTGAGCAAGAGCTGGCTAACTATGACTCACAGGCTAAACCTGGCCCACAGTCGGCTTTTTATGACCCGTGAGCTGAGAATGGTTGTTACATTTTTAAAGAGTTGGAAACAAACAAAAGAATAATATTTTATGGCACATGAAAATTATATATGAAATTCAAACTTGAGTGTCCATAACGTGAGCAGGGAACACAGCCAAGCTCATTTGCTTGGGGGTCTCCTGGGGCCGCTTTTGCGCCACTAACGCCAAGCCAAGCAGTTGCCATGGAAACTAAAGGGCCCACACAACCAAAAATATTTAGCATCTGGCCCTTTCCAGAAAAGTTCACCAATACTTGCTTTAGAGTCATACTTACTCATATGGGAAAACTATCCACTATATAGCATTAAATTTAAAAAGCAAAATAGTATATACAACCTTTTTTAAATTTGTACCTATGAAAAATTTGTATGCGTAAAGAAGTCTACAGGGTAAGACATAAGTATTATTGCCAATCATTATTTAACTAACACACAGAAGACCCTCAGCTACCTACTACAGGGGGCGTGAGGACAAGCAAGGCATGGTCGCTGAGTGCTCGTAGGCCAGCAGGCCAGGAGCGCGCCCGCTTGTTCACTCAGGCAGGCCTTCGCCCGTCCAGCCCTCGGCAGTCTGGAAGCCGGGCACCTGCAGCAGCCAACAGGAAAGCACAATCCTGGAACTCGCAGTCCAGGAACTACATTCAATTCCTCACTCATCCATCGGCCCACAAGTAAGTTGCTAAGGCCACTGTGCGCCAGGCACCAGCTAGGGGCTGCAGATGCCACAACGAGCAAAGAGTTTCTGTGCTTCCATGGGCCTTCAGTTTTGTAGGAAATACAGGTTCCCAATGTTAGCATGTACTTCACAGTATAAAAGGAAATAAAGCTGTTCCCTGTCCATTTCCCTGGTGAAAAAAGAAAAAATGCCTAGCTGGATAGATCCTAAAATGCAAAGACAGTGCTTCCCTCTCTGAATGAAAGAAATACACCAGTTTATAAACTATTTTACGTTTCCATAGTTTCATTGAAATCTCATATGTATTGTCTCTATGACTCAGTTTCCTTTTGGAGGGGGCAGGGCTGGGAGTGGGGGTCTACTAATTAGCACCTGAAATTCATGGCCCCAGTTTAGGTGTACACCATTACTGATGTCAGCAAATGATCAAGGAAAAGGTTTGTAACTTGGATGGGCCTGTAAAAGCCAGAGACTTCATGATGCCTCGGTGATGCTGAACTCAAAGAAAAGTCTATGAAAACCCCACATTACACAGTAAGTTACCGAAGCCATTCCAGACATTATTGACCAGTGTAAGCACTTCTCCTTCTCTTAAGACGTTACCAAACCAGAAGCCACTTGCTTACCTTTTGTACTTTTCAAGAAGATTCCTGGCTTGTTCTTCAGCAAACAGAATCCCAGCAGAGCAGTCTGGGAAATCACCGGGGATGTAAGGTGACTTTTTATACTGAGAATGCACTCTAGCCTCTTTTAATCCTCCCGCTCTTGCACCTCGATAGATCTGGAAGAAAGGTCAAAGAGATTCTGTCAATATGAAATTGCTTAATTGTTTGTATGGGGTAAATGAGAAACAACCTAAATTGTCGTCTCAAGAGGAAAGTGGATATATAAATTGTGGGAAAACGCTATATTGAGTTGTATATATACAAGTAAAAACGAACAAAATAGAGCTTCATCAATCTATGTGGAAAATTCTCAATGTTGATTAAATATAGCAAGTTGTAAAAGCATATCTACAGTGAGGAATATAAAGTTTAAAAACATGTCAAATATAGTTATTTTATTTTGGGATACAAGCTTACTGGAAGGAGCTATAAAAACACGCAGGGTAGTGACAAGCACCAAAACCAGGACAGTGATTCTTTCAGGACCGAGGGCAATGGAACTGGGGAGGGATGCGGGCGCTGCCAACGACTCTGTGATGTTTCATTCCTGAGGCGGGATGGTTCACTGTGTCAGTATCTATACTCTTTTGTAAGCTTGAAGCATTTCATAACTTAAAAATTAGAATTATTTAAAAATATTCCCACTCCCCAACGATTAGCTGAGTATTCCTCGTACTAGGCATCATCAAATCACCTGCATGGCAGCCCTGGCTGCTTGGCTCAGTGGATTGAGCGCCGGCCTGAGAACCAAAGGGTCGCTGGTTCCCAGTCAGGGCCCATGCCTGGGTCGCAGGCCAGGTCCCTGGTAGGGGGCCTGCGAGAGGCAACCACACATTGACGTTGCTCTCTCTTTCTCCCTCCCTTCCCCTCTCTAAAAATAAATAAAAAAAAAAAAAATTCCTGCATGGCTCTAACAGTTACATGTCTTTTATACTCTCTAGCTCAAAGTGGTATGTAACCAGAAACACACACACACACACACACACAATTAAGTTTTAATAAAACTGTTTAGTTAATAAATAGGAATACGTGGTCAGCACTCTAAAATGTATTCTATACGTCTATAAAAATGAGAAAATTATACAAATTGCTTTCAAACTGTAAGTAATTTCTTCAAGTAAAAAAAATATATATATATATATATATATATATATATATATATATATATATATCAACATTCTGTTGTCGCTAGCATTCAAAAATCAGGCCACTCTTAACCGCAGAAATTCACAATACGTCAGCACGACTTTTATTAATACAACCCTGGCTGCGGGGACTTTTTGAAGTGTCCTGCATGTGAGCACAGCTGGGAGGGCAGAACAAGAGCGCTCTATTTCTAAGCAGTGCATCAAGCCGGGAACATTTTCAGCACTTGGTGTTTATTAGGAATGTATTTAAAGGGTTGCGCAGATCAAAAAGTAACTTACAAATGGAATCCAGAAAGCCATGCCCCAGCCCTTTGGGAGCAGGACATCCCAGCCACTTCCCCAGCCTCGCTGGTCGTCTCCAGTCACTTTTCCCGACTGTTGGATCAAAAGCAGAGGTATCTTGGATTCCTGGGGACCTAAAACAAGCTGTGACCCAGGCACCAGCAATTCACTTCTCTTCCGGTTTAAATCCTAAAGTGGAAGAAAATGATTCAAGACAAACAACCCTAGTCTTCTGGGAGATTCTACTGGGTCTCCCTAAAAGCCACATTAGAAAGTTACATGCTCTTTTAAAAAAGCAGGAAAAAAGTGTTCTCAATAAATAAATGTGAACTATTTTAAGTACAAGGTATCCCTCCTATACAATTTTCCTCTATAGAAGTGCTGCGGTGGAAAATGCCAAACTATCTTAAATTTGGGCAAGAATATACGACATGATTCAAAGTTATAAAATAGACATCCATTCCAATAATTTCTTATATCAGGATTAACTTTCTATCTTGATACTTTGTTCCTTCATTTATTTTTGTCATGAAGTAAAAAAGGTACAATTAACAACTTCTCCAGAGGAGCAAGTGGAAAAACACCCTGGGCTCTTGAGAAAACTTTTCACCCAGTCCTAAGGACTGAATATGGAAGATGCTCTACATTATTTAAGTGGACTGTAGGGGATAGATAACACTCTTGCAGACTTTTCTGGTCAGCTGCAAAAAGAGATGAGCAGGTAGGTAGGGGAGAAGCCGACCCCTCAATTGAGAAATATATCCAAGAGACTGCTCCAGGCTACCGTCTACCTGCCCTTCGAGCCATGACCAAGCCTGGTTCTCCTTTTTATTCCCACTACCATCTACATGTTGGAAATTCCAAAAACCTATCTCTTTTTGGAAAGAGAGGGAGGGAAAACCTCTCTCCCTGGACACCTGCTCCTGGGAGTCCCCAAATTCAGTTCATCCAGCATTAAACTCACTTCCCCGCTGTATTCGCTCGCTTCCTGTGCCCCCATCTTAGCTGAATGGTGCCACAATTCTCACAGTTCATTCCCTCGTTCAAGCATCCATTCAAGCATTTACTGTTCATTCATTTACTCGTTCATTCAAATAAACACTGAGCGCCTCTTACGTGCCGAATGCTTTTCTAGAACTTGGGAATACAGCTGTGACAAGTCAGATCTGGCCTTGGCTTTCTTTTAGCTGAGCTCCGAAACCCAAACGAGACTGACTATCAGGAGCTAATCGGCAAGTTTCCTCCTTTCTCTCCACCCATCTTCCAATCAAACACTGAGTGCTGTCAATTTTGCCCTCTGGGAACGTGCGTTAAACCACACTGCCGCACTCCGGATCCCCATCATGTCCTACATTATGGGCTATTCCCAGGGTCTCTTTTAAGACCATCCAACAAGTCCTCTCTCCAGCTGCTCCACCCAAATCGCCACCCCTACCCTCATCCACCCTCCACTGGCTGCTGGAGAGAAATGTGATTATGCATTGGCCCAGCTTAACACCTTCCAAGGTACCCACGCTACATCTTCAGTCCAGCTTCTTAAAATGCCCCAAGGTCTTTTATGCTCTGGTACCTATTTATCTCTTCAGTTTCATCTCCTGCTTCCCCCTTAACTCCAAGCTACTGATCTACGTGACGATTCCTGAACACATCATCCAGTGTTCGGCCTGGGCCTTTGCACACGCTCACGTGTAGCCATCCCTTCTCTACTGCAGCCTTGGCCCTGGCCCCCAAAACTCTGGTTAATCTAACTCCCCACCTAAGAGTCGGCTCAAATACCAGCTCCTCCATCCAGGAAGCTTTCCCTAATTTCTACAGTCGGGGCTTAGTATCCCTTCTTGGGGCCTCCTTTATACCCTGTATGTCTTTGACCATATTGAATAATCATCTATCCCATCATCTAATATAATACCTGCTCCTAGTAGGAGCACAATCATTGTGAAGTTAAAGACAGGAGAACAACTACATTAATAAAGACAGAGAACACTTAAGGGAAAAAACAATAAAAGAAAAACATGTATTTAAACCATAAGGTTATCAAGAAAAAGTCTTTGTGTTAATTTTCTCTAGGAGATTATTATTTTCTAAGAACAGAAAAAAAACCATTGTAAATTGTTTGAAAATAAAGGTTAAGGCTACGGGATTCCATAACATGTGAAGTAACTTTTGTGTTCTCTCAAGTGATGAATTTCAACCTGTCTTCATGACTTTACCAATAATCCTTACACCATTAGTTACCTGATCCGAGATTTTATTCTCTGTGACACTCTTACAGATAGCTTGGTTCCAAATAAAGCTATGCGCACACTCCACAGGCACACCCTCCAGAAGCAGCTGTCTAACTTTCTCATTATCTAAGAGGGAAAAGAAATAGCCTTCAAACCACATCCGTTAGATCAATCAAGTCAAACTCTAAATGTGGTCAGCTGACCTTTTGTTAGAAGAAACCATTTTATAGGTACTTACTTCTCGAGAAGAATACACTTGACTAGACATTAAGTTATTCTTATAGTTGGTCTTATAATCTATGAAATAGAAAGCCTCCTATTTTTTAAACATTTATTTTTAGTGTAGAAGATGCAAATATCACATAAAATGGCCTTAAACAACCGCCTAATTCCACAGGTAAGATCATCAAAGTCGAGGAACCACTACAGAGGCCAACAGCAACGTGAACAGCTGCACACGCCAAGTGCTACTGAACTGCCAGCTCCAGGCCCGTCCTATCGCCCCGGCCCATGAGGTAAGACAACAGGGGCCATCCCTTTTTTCAGCCCTGTTATTTCAAGTCTCTGATAACCCTTTGTACTCAACTATTCATTCCCTTCTATTCAACATATCTTTCCATCCCTTTAAAATGAGCCTATTTTCTGTGAAATATATTATTTCATTCCTTTAAATAAGCACCATGCCAAACAGTTCTGTAGTAGGAAAGGAGGAGGAACTCTTCCAGTTATCAACGTCTGCATTGATACTAGGGAACGTCCTACGTGCAGTCATTTAATCATGAGGGGGTTAAAAAAAAAATCTTCCAAATCTACTTTTGCTGGACTGAAGAATTAAAAGAAAAAAGTCAGACAATTCATGAGTTTTAACTATGGTTCTAAAATGCCAACATAGAAAGGTTACTCAAAGGCACATACCTGCATGGGTCTGAGGACTGGAAAAAAATAAGTTGGAAGTGACTGGGCATAACGTGTCGGATTTCAGGGGAGAACAAAGTTAGGAAAAATTAAATTGATGAACAGATCTGAGAGGAAAGTTCCCTAACAGCAGCAACTGCTTCCAGCACACTGTTCCTCCTCTGCTCCTAGTAGATTTCTACTTCTACTCCTCGTTGCCCGAGACACACTGCTAACGACCAACAGTGTCTCGGGCAACGGGGCCATGTGCCGTGGGGTCCCGCAACCTGGCTGGGAGCGAGCAAGCTCCACTCCCAACCGTCTGGGTCCACCTGGAGCACGTCCCCGCGGAGCGCTGCTGTGGACCCGAGTGGCAGAACTGGGGCTTTATTCTGACTGCTGCAGACCAAAGAGATGGCTGAGACCTAGGGTGTGAAGGCACGGGAGTGCACAGTCTCATCTTCAAATATGCTAAAAAATAATAGATAAAAAAGGTAGATGAAACGTCCAGACGATGGAATATTATTCAGAAAAAGAAAGAAAAGAAAAAAGAATCCTGTCACAGGATTCATGGCCTCCCACCACTTCCTGGGGTCTGCAGGAAGCCCTGGAGCTAGGGCTCCCGGCCTCAAAGGCCTTACCCGGAACAGAGTCCTACCTAACACGGCTTTATCATTTGGGAATCAAATAAACCAAAGTCAGAGCCTTCAAATATACTCTATTTTAAATTAAATATGCATGCCCTGGCTGGTGTGGCTCTGTGGACTGGGTGCTGGCCTACAAACCAAAAGGTTGCCCGCTTGATTCCGTCAGATGCCTGGGTTTGCGGGCCAAGTCTCTGGTTGGGGGCGTGCAAGAGGCAACCTATCGATGTTATCTCCCGCACATTGATGTCTCTCTCCCCCTCTTTCTCCCTTCCCCTCTCTCTAAAAATAAATAAATAAAATTCTTAAAAAAAAAAAAATTGTCGACCTGTGGTCCTGGTGTCTCTGCTTCCCCAGGTACTAGGTGTCTCAGGGTTTAAAATGATCAATTAATTAATTAAATATGCAGAACAGGGGACCCCTTTAAAGGAACCTAGCTAAGCCAGTTAGGGATTTTTTCCTCCCACAAGCAGAAACAGGGAAGTCATGGCAAAGGGACTGATAACTGGGTGCTTATGAAAGTCAACTGAAGACCAGCGCTCTAACAGGGCTTGCGAACGCTGTCACCAGTAAAGCGATGATCTCTCACCTATCATTCTAAAGACAACTTGATTTTTCCCATGTTTTGGGTACACACTACCAAAGAGTGTGTAAAGAGAAAGCTTAAAACAAGCCAAGTAGCACCATGTAAGCTCAGTATTTTCTAAAACACATTCTTCTCTGGCAGACAAAGACTAGTTAAAATAAAATATCAAAGCACATTTGCAGATGTCAGGGAGAGCAAATGTTAAAATAGCAGAGAGTACAGCAGAAATTATATTTTTAAATCTCACCCAGAAAACCAGTTACTGACATAGTGAAATGCTGGGGTAATAAAGTTGAAAAGATTTGCAAAAGCACAATTCAATTCAAATGAAAGAACCAAATGATCAAGTAAACTTTTTCAAGATATCTGAGAATATGCCTCATCACTTCAGGATCTTCACTGAAAGAAAAAAAAAAACTGAAGCTAAGGAGCTTCAGAAAATTAATTTAAAACACAAATAGGTTTGTATGCTAGTTTCAACTGCCTCAAGAAGGAAGTCACATAGCACCCTGTAAACCACCATAGAGACTGCTGAGCCCAGGGCTTACGAGACTTCAGGAAAAAGAAATAATCAAAATGGCAGAAAAAATAATAACACACATTGAGTTAAGAGTCACAAGATGTATAGCGTACACCCCTGCACATTAAGATAACTTAATAATATTGTTAAGATGTTTTTTAGCCCACAAAGTGAACAACCAATGTAAACCAAGAGTCCTGATTTCATGTGTGATTTCGACTTAATATGTAGCCCCAACTCTCTCTTCCGTTTCTTCAGGGCATCGCTGTAAGCCTTAGCCCTTCCTCTTCCTAGTCGCTAACCCCCTGAGACAGCCAGACACAATGGCCAGGCCTTGACTAAGGGCCACAGGTTTTGGTTTCTGTTAAGCTCCGGATAACAGACTGGCCTAAGTCAGGCTTTAGCTCCTGAGCCCTAAATCAGAAGGACCCCCGGCCACATCCTTATGAAACAAGACTGAAGGCCACAGAAGCGGACCTCCAGACCTGAAGTAATGATTCACTGCCCTGACCGCACTCTCGACCCATCAGCAAGACCCATAACCCCAAAGGCTTTACTCAGGGTGACTTGTGATTTTTGCTCTATAAAACCCATTGTCTGTAAACCCTGAGGAGTTTCAGTTTCTCCAGTATGAGCCGCGCGGTCTGTGCTGTATTGCACTGTGTAGTAACTGCCCCTTTCTTTCACTGTGCCCGGTGTCAGCGTCATGGGGTATCTGCAGCACAGGGCGGACAAACTTTTGCCTGGTTACACTACTGCACTGTCAATACGTCTGACACTCCAGGGTCCCAGTGTTCGCCGCACAGCAAGCGATTCTCCAGCACCAGCTGGGCGTCCTACAATTAAGCTCAATTCTGACAGTATCTACATGGAGGCAGCGTCAGATCCCACAGGTTATGACACTTAGACATCAATGGGCTACAGAGTTGTTTGACCCAAGACCTGCCCCCCCTCCCCGCAACCCGTAATTTAATAATCTGCTAGAATGGCTCCCAGAACTTACATTATTGTTTTGTTTTTTAAGATTTACTTATTTATTTATTTATAGAGAGAGGGGAAGGGAGGGAGAGAAACCCTGATCAGTTGCCTCTCAAATGCACCCTGACCTGGGACTGAATCTACAACCCAAGCCTGTGCCCTGATGGGGAATCGAACCAGTGACCTTCTGCTTTGTGGGATGATGCCCAACCAACTGAGCCACACCAGTCAAGGCTGTTTTGTTTTAATAAAAGGATACAACTCAGGAACAGCCAGATGAAAGAGATGCGTAGGGCCAGGTATGGGGGGAGGTGTGTGGAGCGCCCACACCCTCTCTGGGCACTCCACACGCCCAGTGCCTCCAAGTGTTCGGCAAACCAGTCCTCTGAACCCCACTGTTTAGGATTTTTATGGAGGTTTCACCACAGAGGTATGATCGGCCACTGGTGATTAAACTCAATCTCTAGCCACACACCCCCGAAGGGGTGGAGATAAAAGTGCCAACCCCCTAATCACAAGGCTGGTTCCCCTAGCAACTAACCCACCGTCCTTAGGGACTGTCCAGGCGTCTCCTTATTAACATAATCTCAGGTGTGGTTGAAAGAGGCTTGTTATGAACAACAAAAGATGCTCCTTTAGCCCTTTAAGGCTCTTACCACTTAGGAAATTACAAGGGTTTTAGGATCTATATGTTAGAAAAGGCACATGTAGACAAAGACCAAAATATGTGTTTCTTCTGTTACGACAATGTCACAGTCACGTAACTCTCTTTCCAGAGCTAATTCCCAGTACACACAAGAAGATGGAAGAGTTCCTGACTCAAATCAGGTAAACTCTTCTTTGTGGTTTAAGTTGCACCGTAATTGGTCGGTTTAGTCTAAGTCACAACAGGCAGAGAAAGACTTCCATGTAGAAAGAGGAACCTCTCCGGGGAATGAGGTTTTTAGATCACTGTGACAGTGAGGTACTTTCAAAGGTTCATCTTTTATTAGCTGACCAGGCTCATCAAAGTACGTGTCTAACTTTAGTTTCAAACTGTCTTTCTAGATGATGTCACATTGGTATAATATAACCTCTTTAAAAAGTTTACTTCTTTATGTAGCTCACATGCCAATCAACACTTCTTCAAAGAAATTTCTTAAAACAGGTTTTAAGGAAATTCTACAATGACTAACAAGGTGATAAGCTCTTATAATAGAAATTAAATCATGTTTTTTGAAAAAGACTTGAATTCTCCTTGATTCATATTAAGATAAAAGCCTTAGAAAGAATTTAATATAAAACTGCCTCATCCCAAAAAAGAATTTGAGGCAAGAGAAGCTACGAAGAATTAAACGACAGCTTTAAGATGATTATGGTAGTCAACATTTGATGTTTAGTAGACACTACAACTTTCATGGCTGCACCAGACCATACCTGTATTAAGGAAAGGAAGAGGCAACAACTCATTGATTAATGTTTAGACTCCATAGTTAACTTACCTATATATCTTGAAACTCTCTCGTTAAATCCACTTCTCACATGAAGTCTGACAGAATAATTTACTGACCCCTTAATAAGCTAGCTAACTACACATGAAGGTTTAAAAAATTTTTTCCAATTGTTATGACACACACCTATATTATTTCCTCCAAAAATTCACAAGCTAATGTTAATGATTCTTTCCAGTAACCATATTTACATGACAGTAAATACAATAACATTGTCACAACTGCTGCAAATCCCAGACCAGATGAAAATTTCAGCCAATCCTGCCCACCCTCCTATGCCACTCCAGACAGACAGCTCCCTTAGGCCTCTCTGCTGAGTCTAAACCAAGGCATCTCACCCTTCAGCACCTGGGATGGCCTTGCCAGGATTCGAACCTGGGTCATCTGTATGGTCAGACAGAGGCTTCCAATGAGCACAAGACCAGCTGCAGGTGCACATCCCTTCCTCACATGGAAATTCTGAAATGCCAGGCATTTTCAGAGAACCCACCTGGCAGAATGACAGGTTTCACTAGGTATAGAAATAACATGAACACAAGGACCAGGCGACATGCTTCACAGCTAGAAGATACTCCCCCAACAGCATCTCCTCTGATCACAGTCACCTTGAAAGGAACCAGGTAAAAGTCGTCCTAATCTTCTAGAGATGAAGTGACCACAGGGATGCCACAAACTGAACTCTGATAATGGGACTACACTGCTCAACATAGTAAAAAAAAACAAAAACAGCAAAAACGGGTGTTTCAAAAACTTTACCTTGGCATTTTTCTGGATCGGGCAAAACTTTGGACCTTTTTTGTGGCAAATTTATTCGAGGATCCCCAACTGTCAGTCCCAGAACAGTACCTGCCGGAATTTCTGCTGGTGATGTTATTCCTTTAACAACAAACAAACAAACAAACAAACAAATCCAAGTTTAAAGAGAGCCATTCATAATGTATACATTCTTGCTTATATTTTCAGATTTTTCTAATGAAGCTTTATCTGGAGCTATTTATTTAAAAACATGCATTCCCTCCCCCACTGACACTTTTAGAGAATAAATGAACATGCATAACAAGTGAAGTTTCTTTCAAAAAAAAAAAACATTAATTTAACATTTCAGATTAACATTACAGATTTACAACATAAACTTTTATGTTTCTGTCATTGATAACTGCAGTAGCTTTACACACAAAAGCACTCATACCTAGTTAAGAACAGATTTCGGTTTAGTGCCTGGTATATGCATTTATCTGTAATATCAGAATGCCAGTTATTTAGAAGACTAACATCTCAATTGTCTGCTGTTTCATAAGCAAATTCAAATAGTGTTTACCCTATTCACTCTCTGACTGGCCTTCTTGCTGTATTATAACAAAGAGTTACTAGTTTAAAAACACATGTAGAGGGTTTAAATGCAAAAACGTTCTTTCCCCCCTTCCCTTCCCTTCCCACCGCTCCCTCCTCCCCCAGCACAACCCAGCGTCCCCGCCACGTACCTCCCAACAATTCAAAAGTGGCTTCTTGTCTGTGGTGAAGGGAAACACTATCAGGATCCTTACAGGTTTCAACCCACCACTGGTGAGGCGTCCTCTCTGGGTCCTCTCCCTCCTGAAAAACAACAACTCCAATGATGAATCACACCTAACAACTCTGGTATGGTTGTCACACTGCCCTCCCCCACCTTTTCCCTGCACGTGGGAATGAACATTTTAAAGGGGTAACCATGGAAATTGTCACTATTTTTAACACAGTAATTAACACCAGACCATTCTTCTAATTAGGGGCAAGGACAGAGTACTACACTTCCGCCAAGATTTCACACACTAAGGAAAAGATGCTTGGTTTTCAGGGAGACTGAGCTGCTCCACACTGAGGTCCCTGTGCACAGCGCCAACACGAGTGCCTTTTTCCTCTCCCTCGACTGCCAACCCCGTCACCACCAATTTAAGCAATAAAACCTTCCTCACCAAGGTAACACCAAACCAACGCCTTCTGAAGAAATCTTCAGCAAAAGCCTGTATTACGACTAGAGTATTCCTAGAAATTTTGGGTAAGTTACACAAGTATTTTACTTACAGTTTTTTCCTGAAAGAACCAGGAATTGAGCAAGGTTTGAGAAAAAGCACTTCAGGAATCACGTGCACGCCAAGGACGAGCACCAAGAGCTGTGATTCGCACTGAAGTTCATTAAAACAGGATGTGCTCCAAGGTTCTAACGCACCCTGTAGCGTGTATCACTTATCTCACAGATACGCATGCAGCACAGCTTAGTGGTTTCAAGTACAGGCTCTGGAAACAAACGTCCTAGGTCAAACCCTTGCTCTGCAACTCACTTAGATGGAGTAGAGCATCAGGTCTGCGCCAGCCACTGCGCTAAGCACTGGGGACAGAGTTAGGAACAGAAGGGACCCTGCCCTTGCCATCACGAAGCTCACAGTCTAATGAGAGACACAAGTACTGTATACACACACACACAGATGCTCACATACAAACTGAGGGAATGTGCAAGATGCAATATAATTTACCGTAGGGGTATAATTTAACTTGAGGGATCAGGAAAAAATGCTGCAGGCAAAGGAGATAGATAGCGAAAGCTGAAGAATGAGGAAAGTTTCGCCAAGCACAGAAAGGCGGAGGCAGAATGTTCAAGCAGGTGGGGGAAAAAGAGCAGGTGCAAAGGCTCTATGGGGGGTGGGGTCGTGAACGGAAAGGAGGCCAGAGCAGCTGAAGCGCAGAGCTGAGCGATGAGGCAGAAGGGCACAGGTGACAGTCACATGAAGGGCTTTGGATTTTCTCTCCAACACAATTCAAAAGCTTTTAACCACAAAGTAACACCATGCGAATGCATCGTTAAAAGATTACTTTCCCTCCTGAACAGACAATGGAGTGAAAAGGGAAACAAGGGGGGAAAGTTAGGATGCTGCTTCAGTACTCAGGCCGGAGACCGGGCAAGAGAAGACAGTGGTTGAGAGCGTGCAAGCAATGGAGAGAGAGAGAAGGAGCCTTTGTGTTTTACAGTATTTTCCTCCCAAAAGCTCAAAAGCTGTTCAGACCTATCATCATGTTCGACTGTGTCAAGTCTGTGAGAGGCACAGGCACTGAGAGGCTCATGGCACTGATTCAGCAGAACAAACAGAATGAGATCCCAGAGGGTCTGATTCCTAACCTCGCCTCTGCTTTCTAGACCTGTGCTGCCAACATGGTAGCCATGGGCGAGTTATTCAAATTTAATTTTCGGCTAATTAAAATTAAATAAAGGAACAAATTCAGTGGCTCAGTCCCACTAGCCACGTTTCAAGTGCTCAGTAGCTACATGTGGCTGGTGGCTGCCATGCTGGACAGCACAAAGGGAACAATGTCATCACAGAAAAGGCTACTAGACAGCGCGGCACTAGACACATTGCTCCTAACCTTTTAGGGAAACTTCAAACTCACCCCAGAAAATACATATCACACAAGTACAAACAAAAAAACTGCAGTACACTCTCAGGGGCTTATGGAGCAGAAGTTAAGACCCATCTACAACCTCACGAGGTATAAGAATAATTTGTACTTAAATGAGAACAAGTTAGTTTACTTACTACATTCATTTAGATTTGCTTCTCTAGGAAAAGGTAAGAGATGACAAAGTCCTTAATAATACTCATAGAGAAACAAACATTTCTAGGACATGGCCCAAGATGTTGCCTAATTATATGTTAGGTTTCACAAGTTTGCTAGGGAAGACACGACCGGAATAAACCGCTACAGTCACACTGAATCTTACGGTGTGGACAGAAGCAGCTTTTAGTGCCTCAGTTAGGATGGAGTGGGACAGCGGACCAATCAGGCGGAATCTGTTTATCTCCATCGTCAAATCACTGAAAGAGAGAAAAAGCCTTAAAATGGAAACTTCCATGACATACAATGTCTGCGACACTGGCCAAGACAGGGGGAGGCTCCAGGGAAAAGGCTTGAGCGACTTCAGCCTGTACCTGACGGCAAGGCCTGTGGCTGCAGAGACCCACGAACATGGCTGACGGGAATCTCTCGTTCCGTCCCCGAAAAATTTTTTAACTGGTTTAGCATTGTCTCCATCATCTTTCCGTTTTCTCTTCTTGCCCACTTTCTCATCGGGCAGTTCAGTTTGGCTTTTTTCTTGGGACGGTGTCGGAAGGGGGTCGGGGAGGAGGAGAGTTGGTGAGACGGCTTCCGTACACTGGCATGCTGCTTTTACTTCCTCCAAAATCTCCTACGGATGTATTTAAACATTTCACTTCTAAGTTTTTTAACTTAAATATGGTACAAATTTAATGTGGTTTAGTTTGTTATTTTTTTTCCTCCTTTTAAAAATGTACATCTTTCTTCCTTCACAAATTAAACTAAACTGATCATCATCAAAATGGTGTTTTGGTTCTTCAGAGTAGTGCATGGCACTTGGAACTTTTTAAAGGAAACTCTAAATGTCAAACTTTAATGAAAGCAATACGATTGCTCTTACAAAATTTTTTTTTAAAATGAGTTTAAAGTAATCTACCATATAACAGCAGTGGTTATACTAAAAAGAGAGAGAAGCTAAGTGCAGTATTAAAAATCTTCAGAATTAATCAAAATGACTTATCATCAAATAGGCTCTGACAAGCACCTTAGGCACCAGTGAACCTTCAGGCAGGTGGAAGCATCCATTCAAAGGCAACATTTCAAGCCACTTGCACAATAAGGTTGGTTTTCATCTCTACTTATGGCTTAGTGAAAAATGAGTGGTCACAATCTGCTTCATTTCGTATTCAAACAACTTTCCTCCTTTTAGTAAAATACCAAGCTACGAGCCAAACTTTCACACCATTGTAATTTCTAAAGTACTGATTTCCAACAATTGTCAAGAATGCAGTAATGAGTGATGGGGAAATAAACTCAAAGATCATACCTGTTTAAGAGTTGGGTGAAGCCAGATCCACAACTGCCTGCTCTCCGAAACATCGCCAGGGGTCCTCTCAGGCTTCCAAATAAATGTCACAGGCCCCAACATGCCTTGGGGATATTTATTTGCCCGGTAAAGCACGAGACTACCTTGGCGCTTTCCAGACAAGCAGTGCACTGCTGCAAAAGTCAGCCCTGACATAAACAAAAACAAACCTTCATGATTCTGAGTGTTGAGACCGTAGTATTATTTCCTAACAGCCGACTTGTTATTTGTTGTCTCTCTCTGCATGAGGGATGAAGTCTAGGTTTTGATCACTGCTTAGATCAACGTGGCACACAGTAAGTTCTCAATAAATATTTTACTGAAGGAGTGGTTTAATGAGTTTTGAGTTTCTTCCTGCCTAAATGCACTCAACCAGCATAATGGCTCTATCATTTTACACATGACAATGTTGGAAATGACTGAAAACCACTCCAAGCTTTCCTCTTATTAACATACTCATTGGCAACAAAAACTGTCTCATGAATTTTTATGTATGTTTAAATTCCCAAATGCATACAGCAGACACTTCTTCATAAAATGAATAAAGAGGCAAAGACAAATATAGGGCTCAGACTTCAAACACGTTTACCTGTGTCTATGCTACACATTGGAGAAAGTGCCTTTAGTATTTCTTCTTCTTTGCCCTTCAACTCCAAGCAACAGTAGTAAGATAAGTCCTGCACAAAGAGAGAAACTTCATTAAAAACTTGGCAATGTACATGAGGGAAACTGCGTGAAGCCGAAAGTCACATCAGAAAACTTGCAGAGTCCAAGGCACAGAACAAATTGCTAAAACTACCATTGCACAACTCAAAATCTGAAATCTGTCTATTGCTATTACATTAGCAAATATTCTTAAACCAATTTAAATCAAAATAAAAATGAATTTCCATTTAAGTTGCAGTGTCCTACTTTTTATAAAGAAAATCTGTGTTTTATCCCATATTCACATACAAATTCTAAGTAGTGTAAAAACGGCTGCCTCTCAGTAAAGGATTACTCTTCCCTGAAACCTACCTAAGGTAAAAAATGAGAGTCATGATGTTGCAAACAATCTATCCCATAGTTCTTCCATGCTCATATCATATTCAACTTTCACTCGGCAATGTAAAAGGAAAAATGAGAGGAATGAGAGTAAGACCTTACCAATTAAGTAATATGAAGAGAAATCAAACTGAGCTAGTATCCTCAGTATGTTAAAGAATTATAGCCCTGGCTGGCTGGCTCTGTGGACCGGAACATCGGCACATACACCAAAAGGTTGCGGGTTTGATCGCCGGTCAGGGTGCGGACGGGAGGCAACCCCTGGATGCTTCTCTCTCATGTCAACGTTTCCCTCTCCCTCTCCCTCTCTCTCTCTCCTCTCCTTCCTCTCTCTCTAAAATCAAATACTGTATTTTACTGCAGACAATGCACAACTTTTTGCCCAAATTTTTGAGGGAAAAATAAGGATGTGCATTATACATGGGTAGTACTAAGGATGCCCATTATACATGGGCAGTGCTAAAACATGGGATTATACACACATTATACACAGGAGCACATGGAAGGAAGAAAAAGAGACAAACAGTGGCTGAATGGATCAAAAAACAAGACCTTTACATATACTGTCTACAAGAGACTTTGGATCAGACAAAAAGACATACCGAAAGCAAAAGGATGGAAAAAGACATTTCACGAAAACAGAAACAACAAAAGAAAGGTGGGGTAGCAACACTTATGCCAGACCAAATAGACTTTAAAACAAAGACATATGCATCCATATGTTCACTGCCCCACTATTTACAATAGCTAAGATATGGAAGTAACCTAGGTGTCTATCAACAGATGAATGGATAAAGAAGTGGTGCATAGGTACAATGGAATATGATTCAGCTATAAAGGGGAATGAACTCTTGCCGCTGCCACCACCAAGGATGGACCTAGAGAATACTGTGCTGAATGACGTGGGTCAAAGACAAATGGCATATGATTTCACTTACATGTGGAATCTAAAAAACAAAATAAACAAACAAGCAGAACAGAAACAGACTCACGGATACAGAGACCAGTTTGATGGTTGTGAGATGGGAGGGGGGTTGAGAGGGTGGGTGACAAAGGTGAAGAGATTAAGCAGTGCAAATTGGTAGTTACAGAATGGTTACAGGGATGTCAAGCACAGCATAGGAAACACAGTCTATAGCAGTGTAATAACTATGTATGGCATCAGATGGGTACTAGGTTTCTTTGTAATAAATGCCTAATCACTGGGTTGTATAGCTGAAACTAATATAATACTGTACACATCAATTGAAAAGCAAATTACTTGAGAAAAATTAACAAAAAATCATTCAAACAGTGATTTGCTAGTATGTGTATTTTACAATTTTTTTTTAAAGACTACTGTTTTGATGATTCTGCTACACTGCTCTCAAGAGTAATCAGAGGATACTAATGGCTTTCAAAACTGGGCCAAGACTACCCTGCCATTGAAAGACAGGCCCTCTACAAAGAGCAAATTTCTAAATACGTACTGGAAGAGAAAGCAACCAAATCAATGATGGGGGCTGGGGAGGGACAACCAGATCAATATGAGGCTCTGAATCCAACTGTCCTCTCTAATAGTTAAAACAAACTTGCCAGCACCCCTCTGAATCATAAACATCCAGAAGAGCATCTGAACACCACTCGGGGCCCATAGATGGTTCTCAAATATCTGTTACTGGTAAATGACTGCTAAATGAATCAATGCTGAATAGGTCTTGAACATGACCATCAAAACCCTGCATGATCTGGTTACTACTTAGTTTTCCAGAACTAACCTCGCCCTAATATTAGCCTTGCTGTGACTCTCTTAATCTTTGTCACGTGGAATTTATTTCAGTTCTTCCCTAGCTGGCTTCCTTTTGCCTCCCCCACTCTCCCATTTTCTTATTCCTTAGAGATCTGCTCAAACATCACTCCCATGGGGAAGCTTTCTTGTTCCTCTGTTAAGAAAGCTCATATAGTATTGCATATACCCCTTACAATTGTAGAGTTGGCTAATTACTTGATTAATGTCAGTCTCCCCTGATACCTTTAGGCTGCTTCATCTCCAGCATCTAGCAAACTGCACCATGCTTAGTAATTTTCTTTTTTTAATGATTTCAGAGATAGGACGTTAGCATTACATGAACTATTCTAAAAGTCTCTATCAGAAAGGGTCTAACCAAAAAGAAAAAAACATATTGGAAAGCATACCTGAAGGAGGCAACGGTTCGTCATAGCTCGGTAGCAGGCTCTGTGGCTCTTGACTGTCGGCCTCTCCCCAAGGCAGTAGCCCCACCTCTTGACCATGTGAAACCGCTTGGCGTGCCAGATGTGAGTTTCTAACCATATGTTCTTCTTTTGTCTACGGTTAAATTCTAGCACCCGGTTGATGTGACATCTTCGAGCTTTATGGCATTTGTTTTTTGAATGTTCTTTTTTCTGATGCACTGCTTTCTCTGCCTATAGTTTCAAGAAGAGAAGCAGGCCCAGTTTGCACCCATTTCAAAACGAAGCTAAGAGTCAGACTTAAACTAACTTTAGATTACGTGGAACACATTATAGACCCCATGAGTTTGCCTAATTGTTTAGCTTGGTGATTTCTCCAGTGAAAGCAGAGAGGGAAGCACCAGAAGGAGTGAAGATTTTAGAGGTGAACAAACCTTAGAAGGAAACATGTCCTTTCACTTGACAGTTGGGCAAGCTTCATGGATTATAAAGATGAGATGTATATCAAATGTTCAACTCAAGCCTATTGTGGCTAACAGTGTACTGGACAGCAAGAGGGAACAAATCCTATACTACTTTTTTGTTATTATTTTTACTGCTTTTTAACATCTTAAGATTATAACTAAACCCAAAACTTAGGACCAAAAAATATAAAAGCGAGGAACACCTACGCATTTCATGTTGGTTAGGTACTGACAAGTAAATGCTAAAAGCTATCACTGGGAAGCAGACTTCACATTGAATCTAGAAACTGCAAAATTCCTGTACTCTTTTCACTCTTAATCTCTCCCATAGCCAAGCTAAACTTTTGTGGAAAAAAACTCTTCCCCATTAGTCTGTGGGCCCCTTACAGATAAGGACTTTACCTTGATGAATTCTAACTCCACGACCAGCATAGTACTGGTAGATAGCAGGCACATAATACAAAAATTCTGAAACAACTAATAAACACATGGGTAGCCTAGATAATCTCAGAAAGTCTAAGCCAAAATTTCTGGTGAAGGGGAAAATAAATAAAAATTAAAATCAAGCTCAAGTTTTCAAAACCAAAAAAGTCAAAAGGCAAGTACTAGGCAATGATGCTGCCTTTATTATTATTATATTTTTAACCTTCTAACGCTAAGCTGGCCACACACCCAAAATGCCGAGTTAAAATTGTTTATTTTGTAAGAAGGTCAGAATTTTATTTTAAATCTGACAGGGAAACATCAACTATTCAATACCATTAAAAGAAAGGAGTTCCAAATACTATATTTAAAAGGAGTTGTAATATCCAACCATCGCTTACTTTTGTGGATGAAAAGCAGGTAGGAGAGGGGTAAAGAGTTAAACCAAAATACGCAAAATGAACATGTTGGTTTTGGTTTTCATTTTAACAAATTCCCATTTTATTTTAGGAACTACTAACTAAGATATTTACACTAAGTAAAACTGATACCTCTTTCTGAGCAATCTCCTGTAACCGTCTCGGAAGGCGTTTGACGTTGTGGCTCATGGCCCTTCGTCTCATGTGACGTGGCAGAGTCTGGAAAACCAGCGAATTCGAAGACTTCTGAGTCACTGCTTTCAACATAGCGCTGATTTCAGCAGCTCGAGCCTGAGCAAAAGTAGAGGCTATTGAAGGAAAAGAGCACCATCATTAAAAACTAGTCTTGAATCAACACTGTTCCAGTACATCTCAGAAGGAAGGTTTGGAGAACACGTGCTTACAATTCATCCACCACCCTAACCCGCTATTAGATTTATACCAATAGTGGTTATTTCTATAAAGATTGTGAAAATAGTCTTCAACTTTTATTTTTTCACATTCTCTTAGACTCAGTGTCACTTTTCTAATAAAAAAAAAGTTTAAAGTCAAGATTACAAAAAGCTTTTTAAAACAGAACTACAATGCAATATAATCACAACCATTTTTAAGTAAAATAATCACACAAGAAAACAAAAAAAGAGTTCACTCCCGGGTTTCCGCACAAACAAAACAACAAAAAAATAAAAAACAAAGAAAGGAAACAAGGAAAAAAACTAAATTTTAACAATGGTTTTGACTCCAAGGATTTTCTTCTTAATATTTTCTGCTTTTTCCAATTATGTGACTATAACTAGTATTAGTTTTCTTTATTGAAAACTAATTTTTTTTTTGAAATATATAAGAACTTTATTTTTAAAACTTTAAAACTAGCAACAATTAGAGGGGAATCTTCTTTAACTTGATCTTTTCTTCTATATTTGAAAAGTATCTCATCTTTGTTAAAATTTCCTTGGCTTTTTCAAAATCATCTTGTTCAAAAGCTCTGCTCACACTGTCAGTCAATTCTTTCTGTTTTGCTCTGACAGTAGATTCAATCTCTTTCATGGCAGCTTCATTTTGAGCCTCTGCGAGCTTTTCATTGATATCCATTATTTCCATGAGGAATTGCCTGTCCATTTCATAATCTGTTCCTTCAGGAATCTCTACTTCATGGAGCTTTAGAAGGTATAGTCCCCTACTCAGGGGAGCCAGAAGGGTCTTATAGGCGTCATTCACCAGGGTCGAATGCTTCTCTGAGAAGTCCTTTTCTCTCTGAGACCTCTGGCTGAAGAAGTCTGGGTGAATTAGACGCTGTATTTGCTGGTACCTATGCTGGAGCTTTGTAGTGTCAACTCTGAAGGAACGGTTGCAGTCCATAAGGCTGAAGTGGTCTCTAGTGGGGTCAGGTGGCTGCAGAGCCCGGCACTGTGGGCAGAAGAACCCGTCCCCCCGAATGAGGTCCCCTGGGCCGCCGCAGTTCCAACACTGGGGGGAGCTGTTTCCTTTTAGCGACGCAGCATTGCAGCTCAGCGGTCTCCGTCCGAGGACCCCTGTTGGCCACAACCCCCACAGCCGGGACAAGGTCCAGGTCCTACCACCCCACATCTGGCCCGTGGCCTATTTCGCAGCGGTCAATGGAGAAGGGAAAACCGGGAAAACTGCGGCCGACCAGATTAGTACTGCTGATTGAAAACTAATTTTTTTAAGTAAATAGAGTGCTGAGGAAATTTAAGTGAATTCCCCCTAGAAGGTACAAAGAGGCCAGAAGGCACCCCTAAGGTGTGTACAAGGACTATGGGGTGATGAGGTAGCAGGGGTAAAAGTTATGAGGGAATCAGGAGATGAGGCTGGAAAAGATCCCAGATATAGCTGCCTAAAGGTCTAGGTTGCCTTTAGTCCTCACCCAAGGATGTGTTTATTGATTTTGGAGAGAGGAAGGGAGGGAGAGAGAGACAGACATGAGAGAGAAACATCGATCGGTTGCCTCCCACATGTGTCCCAACCGTGGATCGAACAGGCAATGCAGGTATGTGCCCTGACTGGGAATCAAAACCCATAACCCGCTGGTGTATGGGGCGACACTCCAACCAACTGAGCAACACAGCGAGGGTTGGACTGCCTTTACAGTGCATCTAATTTGCTTTCATCTTTGGAAAGTGCCATGTTGAGGAGTATAAGCTGCATTTTATACTTTTAAAAAGGGGAGGAGAGAAGATTTTAAGTCATAGTGGAAGAGTCCACAAATAAGGACTGTGAGAAGACAGGTTAAAAAAAAAAAAAAAAAGAAGAAGAGAAATTAAAGAAGGGAGAGCAATCAGCCCCAGTCCAAAGGCTAGAGGTGAGAAGGGCCCGGAGCACAATGAGGAGACTCAGGAGAGCGCAGGGCCAAGGCACAGAGACAGCATTACCAATCTGGCTGCATTGGAAACAAAGGGCTCACAGTACGATCCATCCTCACTTCTTTACAAATACCTACCTGTTATATACTTGGGAATCTCCTGAGATGTGCCTTCAGGACCTGCTTTCCATCCTCCCTTTTTTTTAAACATCACTTTGGAGGATGACTGCTCCCTCACATCAGGCTCCAGTGGTGAATAGTGGGTCATTTTGGTTTGCCGCTGTAGTGCAGTTCCAGAAAAAGCATCTAGTATATTAAAAAAGAAAAAAAAAAAAAGAAAAAGAAAAAAAAGAAATATGTTACTCTTATCAGGATTAGAGAACATCTGTTGGGTGAAAACAGTGATCATGTTTTCAATCCTATAACTTCCCTGTAACATGGCTGTTACTATCCTCCCTTTAAAGAGAAGGATAGTGGGTAGGAAGACGAATTAACTTGACCAAGGAGACGCAGCTAACTTCTTATATCAGCATGACACATCAAAGAACCCTGGACAGACCTGCTACAAGGGAATTTTTCTCCAGATAAACAGTGCAACATGGATTTTAAGTCAACCCTCCTTGAAGTACTATAGTCCATGTGACTTTGCATATTCAGTCTTTTATCATAATTCTCTGACACACTAAAATTGGGAGTCTGTGCTAAATTTGAAAAAGAAATAAAAGCAAAATCTCTATACAAATGCCTGAACATTCAAAGCATTCTGTCTTCAGACAACATCAAACCCTTGTCTGTGAATAGAGAGATCAGTAGAGAATGTTAAGGATTCCTGCTTACTTCCAATAAGGTGCTAATTATTAAGCCCCTATAAATATGAAGCATGTTACAAAACATGCCATTGCAAGGTGTGAGTAAGATAACATGTCAGACACCGCACACACCATTCTTTAAAGTGTTCCCAGAACATTCTTGGTCACCTGCTCGCTATCTTCCCACAATGGCATTTTCTGTTGCTGCCCAATGAACAATATTACTTTCGCATCATTTTATGAGGTTCTAAAATTAGCACACAAATTAAATGATGATGACTGCACTGTATTTTTATTTTACAAAAACAAAAAAGAGATTCAGAAGTGCTAAGCGCCCTGCCTGAGGCCCTCCCCCAGCTGGAAATCAACCCCAGCCCCCGCACCCCCACTGCACTGCCCACCCCCTGCCTCCGTCCTCTGGTCATCTCTGCAGGAAAACTGAAACGGGGAGGCGGCTGGAAATGTCCCCATGGGGTGAACTGAATTCTCCCTCGCTCTGCACATGTCTACGAATGACCGCCAAAGTGTCATGAGTATTAATTTTAGGGTTACAAACTTTTGCGACTACGTGACTTTGCAAATAATAATGGTCAACTGTATCTGTTGTTACCTCAACTCATTTACTATTTAGATGATGACTATCAAAAGGTGCTGACGAAAGCAATTTGCTCCAAATGGGAGTGGAAAGGACATTGTGTGTCTTACCTAGTCTTTGAGCTCGGAAAGGTTTTCCGCCTCCGTTAGGGTGCTTTGCACCCCTATCAGCCACAAAGCCAGAGGATAAAGTCACATTGGTGGGCTGGTTTCTCATTTTCTTAGCATGTTTTCTTTCTTTTGCATTAGACATCTCTGGAAAGAAATTAATAAATTTAGAACAGGAGAAGGGAATTTCCATTCAAAAATAAATATAATAAATATTCATGCAATCGTATTGAGTCCAATACATAATAAATCTTTATTATAGGTGGATTAATGATATAAAAATGGTATCACAATATTGTAATCAAAATACTGATTTACAGCAGGAATTCATAACCAGAGCAATCTCTAGGGGAGCCATAAATGGTCTAAACACCAAAAACATGATTCAACAGAAAAAAATAATTCTATTGTCAGAAGAGACTGTATTAGTACAGTCCAGTTTACACTGCCAACTAAAGTCATATACCCACGGTGACGCTGCAAAAAGTCTGTTGAAAGAATGAAAAATGTGGTTAGAGGTACGATTTCCTACGCCATGATAAAATTAAATTAGTGAAAACATTTAATCAAAATTCTTAGGTGAAACATGAGCCACTGGAATCAATAGAACATAGAATACACTATTCTGGTATGATAACCTCTACAAAAACTGAACATAAATTATTGATGTTCTCATTTCTACTACTGAGATGAGGCCAGCTGCACCTTTAATTTGTAACAGCAGAAAGATTTCAATGTGAAGGAAGGATAAAGGACAAAATCCTGGAGGAACCTGATGAGTTTACTCAGTAATTCTCATTTCTCAGATTTGACATCCCTCTTTCTTTCTCAATAGTTTCAAACACCTGTTTTCTATTTTGAAATAAAATTCCCTAATAACATAACCTACCAGACATATAACTTTTACCAACACATGCCCTACAATGTGTGCCCTAACTGTAAAGAAAATAATTTTAATAATATGTATTTTCTGTACATAAATACTTCACAACTGCAGTAGATGACATGAAAAAAATGAAAAAGCTGTGAAAGTTCTTGAGCCAGAAGTAGAAAAGCCAAAACCTTAGCAGCATGTTAGGGCCAAATGAGGGGGAATAAACAGGATTTTCTTACAGTATTGCATTTTAGAAGCAAGGTAGGACTGGGGTCTTTTGTGTTTCACTACTGCATCTCCAGCACCTAGCCGGGTACCTTGCACAAAGGGCTCAACATATATTTGTTAAATGTACACGTGCACGCATAAAAGAAGTGAAGCGTGCTATAATGCATTATAAACAGAATTAAAAATATTTAGCCAATAACCACCTCTTCTGACACAGCGTGACTGAGCATCGGCCACGAGACCAGCCCGGGGGCCATTTGCGGGCTCAAGACCACTGCTTCCTTTTTGAAATCTGATCCCAGTCACTAGGGTTCAACTCACATCAAAGGGGAAGGAATAAAGACCTCTAAAAGCTCCAGAGGCAGCGGAGGATGGAACAAGGGAGGGGCTGGAAGGTGGAAAACGCTCAGATCTCAGCGCGGTCGTCCCCGGAACGACCCATCTTACCGCTTTAGGGCAGCGATTTTTAACCAGTGCACCCCAGGAATTTTCGAAACGTGCAATACCTGACCATTTGCCCTCTTTTGACTTAGGTTGTCAAATAAAAAATTGACAGCAGACAACACAATAGCTCCTGCGTGAATGAATCAAAATTATACCTATTTTTGTCAGATAGGCAAAAAATAATATAATTTTGGTATGCCACAGACTTTTAGTAATTAGGTTCTGTGTGTCATGAGATGAAAAAGGTTGAAAATGGCTGCGTTACGATATAAGGCGGGGTTGGGGGTACAAGCCAAGTCCCAGAACGGCCTCCCTTGGGTGTGGCAATATAGCAAAAAGAAAGACTGAAGGAGGTGCGGGGCGGCCAGAGCCCAGGAGCAGGAAACAAGACAAAAAAGAGAAAAAGGAGGATCTGAGGGAGAGAAGACCAGAGCGGGGGGGCGCGGTGCGCAGACCCCAGATGGGGGGCCACACACACTCTCCTAATGAACACCAGCCCCTCAGGACCTACCTGCCTGACACTCGGAGTCCCAGGTCAGAATCTGCCACACTCTCCTCCAAAACGACGTTTGCTGCGAGCGAGCGGCAGGGCGCATGCGCAAGTGCAGCCGCTGCCTCCACGTGGCCGGGAGCCCGGCAAAGACTACAACTCCCAGAGTGCTGAGCGAACCACCCCCGGCACGTGTTTCTGTAGGGACTGTCCTGGGCTGGTTAGTAGAGGGAGACGGGAAAGGTGCTGGAGTACTGGATCGTTCTCTCCCAGGGGCCCGAAGAGAAAACGATTAGTCATGTCGTCCTTAATCCGAAAGGTGATCAGCACCACGAGAGCCCCAGGGGCCATTGGTCCCTACAGGTAACTAGGCACGTGAAGCGCGGGTGGACCCCGGGCATGCGGAATCGGGTTCGGGACTGACCAGCCGGGATCACAGCTGGGGTGGGCTTCAGGGTTCCGCTAATCTTGTCAAATACGCTAGGAAACCTAGCCCAAGAAAGGGGAAAACGCACCTGAAAACCAACAATGAGTTAGAAGCGCAGTAGGGTGGGGACCCTGCGCTCCGGAGGAGTTTCCCCAGACTTGGGGTTTCTTGCTACGCCGCCAGCCAGAAAGTTCTTCTGGTTAGAAGTGGTCTATTTCAAAACTTTTTTCTCCTTTTTTATTTTATTTTTTTTGCGGGGGGCAGGGGGGTGTCGGGTAACAGTTTTCTCGAGTTATAATTCACATACACCCAAAATACAGCCCTTTAAAGTGTACAGTGCAATGATTTTTACTATACTCACAAAGCAGTGCAGCCTCTGCCACTGTGTAATCTCGAACATTTTATCACCCCGTCCACCTCTGCCCGTAGCCCCTTACAACCACTGCTCTCCAGTGGGTATCTATGGATTTGCCTGTTCTGGACATTTCCTATAGTAAATGGAATTCTACAATATGTGGTGCTTGGTAATTGACTTCTTTCACTTTGCACAACAGTTTTCAATCTTTTTCATCTCATGGCGCACATAAACTGATTACTGAAACTCTGCAGCACACCAAAAAAGGAGTTTTTTGCCAATCTGACAGAAAACAATAGGTATAATTTATTCATTCACACCAGGCAGCTGTTGTGTTGGCTGTTGTCATTTTCTTATTTGACAATCTGAGGGAAGGAAGGTCAGTGCCCCTGACTAAATAATTAGGTATTGCATGTTTTTAAAATTCTTGCAGCACACTGGTTGAAAATTGCTGACTTAGCATGTTTGGCTAACCCTCTTTCAACTCAAAGGAGTAAACCCCATTCACAGATGCTTAGCAAATCTCTGCACATCTACTCAAGACACCAGTTTTTCCAGCACATATACAAATGTTTTGTGGTTACGAATTCATTTGCTCATGCTTATTTCCCACTAACAAAGTCCAACACAAATCATGATGAAGGTCATTTTTAAGATTGCCCCACATGCTCTAGCTAAATATATGTATACTGGCTAGAAAATCTATCCTGCGTACATTTCCACTTTATGGGAACTGTTGCTAGGTAGAAAAGTTAATTCCTTTTTTAAAAGACTGTATTTTCTTACAATGTTTCAGCTTTAAAACAATTGGATCTTAATATGCATTCTTGTATTCTTTTATTTTCCTAATACAATTGTTGTTTTTAATTCTTCTCTAAAGTATATCCTGTAACCTTTTTTCAACTTTTTCTTTTTAAAATAGTCTATAATGTCTGTTCTCTGTTAAAAGGAACACCTCCACAGCTGAACACTTGAACTATGACAGACATGTATAGAGTACCTACCATCTGCCAAGCACTTCAAGGGACACAAAAATGTACAAGAATCAAAAAAGAAATATTTTCATTCAGTGCCTGCTATGGCAGGCACTAAGAGAACCACCTTCTTCTCTAAATCCCATCCCCATTTTACAAAAAGAAAACAAGTTCAAAATGAACTTGTCCAAGGTCAGTCTGTAAGTAAAAGTGACAGCTGGTTTTGAATAGGTCCTAACTTCCCCCTCTATACTACACTGTCATGGAAAATAGCACTTATATGTGGCAGAACAGTAACTGTTATAGCAGGGTTAGAGATAAAATGGAAAGGAAATTAGGGGGCACAGGAGATGAGGCATGGGGATGGCAAAAGAGGAAAAGAAATTGATGATAACTTGGGGCAGAGGAAGAAAAAGATTTAGGAAGTCTCCTTGTGAGACATAGTCCTTGAATTGGGCTTTGAAGGTTGGGTTTGCCATTTACAATACTGTTGTAAATTTGATTTTTAGAATATAGTTCACCCTTGAAAAATATGGGTTGAGCTGCATGGGTCCACTAATGTGCAGCATTTTTTAATACTGTAAATGTATTTTCCTTATGATTTGCCTAATTACCTTTTCTATACTTTATTGTAAGAATACAGTATATAGTGCATGTACAAAATAGGTGTCAATTGTCTGTTCTCAGCAAGATGTCTTTCAGTCAATAGTAGGCTATTAGTAGTTGTTTTGGGGAAGTCAAAATTTAGATGTGGATTTTCTGCTGTTGTGGGGGCGGGTGCCCCTACTTCAGCATTTTTCAAGGGTCAAGGTACTTTGTTAAGGACTTCAGGAAATCATGGGGTGAAGGGCATTCCAGGGAGAGGGGATGACTTGAGGCATAGAGGTAGAGGAATACATGGCATAAAGATTTTTGGGAGGAAGTTTTGGTAATCTTAGTACCAATTTTACTCTTTTTTTTTTTTTCATTTGCCAAATCTTTGTACCACCTATATTTTAATTTACTTAACACTTTTCTTTGAGGTGGCTCACTTTAACAAATTTAAAAAGGAACCTTCACAACAGTACTCTAAATAGAAAGCAACCCAGTAGAAGGCAACAGTAAAAAATAAATAAATAAACTCAAGTAAATAAACAACTATTAAATTCTAGCTAGATCCTGCAGTTGGCTCAGAATCCAAGGCCTGCATTCTCTTTGTTAAAAGTGACAGGTTTCTTTAGTTTCTTTTCTAAACATGATTATTTTTACCCATGTCATCAGAGGATTGAAGCCCTAAATGCTAGTATTCATTGGTGCTTCCGCAGCCTCAGGCACTGTCCTAGGTGCTTTGGATGCAGTTACTATCCCAGTCCCCATTTTTCAGATGATGGAAGAGAATTGAAAGGGAATCATTTTCTTACTGTGATTCAATGTTTGCGTGTGACATACACTTTGAGAAACACTGGTTAGGAGTTGGACTTTAAATTTTTTTGTGTTGCCTCTTGCTAAAAATTAGCTTTTAGCAAAGTCTGGATTGTGATGGTTTCCAATGATAAACTAAGAGTATAAACTTTATTTTGTATGCAGTGAGGAGCCATCAAATGTTTTTGAAGAGGAAGTGACATGATCAGATCTCTTTTAAGAACAGAGTTCTGGTAGTAATTTGAGAAGACATTAAGAGTAGTTAAGGGAACATTACAATAAAAGTAAAAATCAGTAATCTTTTTACTTCTTCTGCCCAGTGGTTTTACCTCAGAACAAAAGTGACCCTTAACAAAAACAAAGAAATTATAGAGCCTGGAGCCTACACCTTCCTGGATTATGCGCTTTGTCCAAGAAAGCAAGCATGAGACTAATACCCCTGGTTGACTCGGAGATGGGTCAACTGTCATTATAAAGCTGCAAGCAAAAAAGAAGGCAGGCATTGTATGAATGTGCCAGTATGACAAAGGAAAACCATCAGCCAGCTTCATTGTGGGGAGATTTTTCAGGCCATTGTGCAAGACTCTTGTGCTTTTTGTGTATCCAAAGTGGTACTAATTTTCAATATTCTGTGAAGGAAGAAACACATTCCAACTAACTAGTGATATCCTGATAGAGTGAATTAGGCATGTTTTATAACCATTGGAAACGGTGTGTTTTGTGCATGGAGTTTGTAGTTAGTCCACTTGTGAGAATTCTGGGTCTTCTCCAGGAGGAATTCAAATGTGTTGAACTTTCAGTCCCTGGCATTGAGATGGATGGGGTGTTGTCACTAATTAGCTAATCAGCTCAGCACATTTTAGGGACACCCAAGGACAGAACCTTGAGAGATTTCAACATCACGGTGCTATTACATAGCTTTTCATTTTGTTAGCACACCATGCAAATAGTCATACAATCTTGAAGTGAGAGTCCATGTGGCATAAATTGTGATGTGAGAACTATTTCTAGGATGTTTTTGAAGAGTGTTACTACCCTTTGACCTGAAAGTAGAACAATAACACTTTTAAATTTTCTGGAGCCTGACTTGTCTATGGCTAGTAGGATTCTTATGCTCAGGAAGGGTCAACTATCCAATTATTTTTGTGAACAATCTCTTCTAATTTATAAGAGATAACTCACTTAGCTCAGATACTCTCACAGTTTCAGGGCTTGCTTTTAATTTTCTGAGAATAAATGAGTTCCTTTTTATGGTTAAAAAAACAATTGTTCAGTGATAATGCACATGGGTTTGAACTATGGGGAGAATTAAAGGTACTTTTCAAAGGGTTATGGGTAGCCTAATTCTACACAGAACAGTTAATAGAAAGCGTTAGCTGATGGTACTGTTCAACCTGAGAAAAGCAGACACATTAACAAACTCAATAGCTAATCTATTTGTGGGCCAGGGTAAAAGTCAGATAGTGGAGAGGAATTCCTAGACTTTCTAAATCCTGTTACCAAGTTTAAATTTACCCTCTTCAGTTCTCCAAAACCCACACTAAAAACCAGTAGGTCCTCCAAAAAAGATACTTTACTGACAGCCAAAGTTGTCTAAGCTACTGAGTGGTTCGTGAGGGAGCAAAACATTGACAAGAAGCTATTGTGTTCCCACTATGTGTAAGGATTCACCTAGGCCCCGCACAGCCTGAGACAGGAAGACGCTATCCCTGCCTTTGAGGCGTGGCGGTCTGGCACACCCCGAGATAGGCAGGATCCTGCGCCTGGTATAAGAGAGGCTCCACCAGAGAACCTCATGGGCTACGCATATATAGGAAAGAGAACTTTAAGTCCTTTGGTGGACTCAGCAGATCATTAATCAATCAATAAGGACTTAGAGCTCTGGACATATTATACACTTCAACTAACATAATAGCACTCTGGAAACCTGAGATGGAGAAATAAATCTTGTTTCAGAAGTCTTTGATTCCAGTAGAAAATAACTTATTTTCAAGGCTCTTTCACTTTTTTCCTCCTCCTGTTAAACACATTTTAAATGGCAAATCTGAAAAGACAAAAAGGAAGATTCTCAGGTGTCAGGAACAGAGAAATCAAATCCAAGCCAAAAGAATGAGCTGATGTGAAAAGCCCTTGAGGATCTGAGACCCAGATACAGGCCTTAGGAGCTGGGGTTCTAAATTCCCACTTGAAAATAGAAAGTGATGTCTTAGGTGACATTCGAGGTACTGGAAGGAGACCCCTCCCCAGAGCCTAGAAGAGCCACAGAGAGAAGCTGGTGAAAAGAGGACTAGAAAACTATCCACCCTGTCAAAGCAATGAGGAAGTTTGCTGTATGCCATGGGCCTTGTGTTGTACAGCATGCACAACACATCAAAGGCAAAGAGAAGACATTACCTAGAAAGGCAAGACATCACTGACAGACATCACATTAGCAATGACCAAGGCGAGAGGACCATGCAGAAATCTTAAAAGTGCTGGAAAAACTAACTTCTAATTCTACAGCCAGCTAAATTCTATTTCAAAAGTGAAGGAAAAATAGACATTTTCGGTTCCAGTCAAAAAATTTGTTATTAAGCCCCCACTGGGCTAAATATACCTCAAGTAAGGAGCGTGTGCAACAAAAAATCGTGTAAGTAAATCTAAGTAAGCCCTGACTGTAAAGAAACAAAATATACAGAGATGGGGGTAGGGGTTTGGGAGAGAGATTAAGTGAAAACACAATAGAATTAAAATGATAGGAATAACAGGAGGGGAGAATTGAGTTAAAGAGTCTGAAGTCCTCCTCGTACTATTCAGAAGAAGTTGGATAAACTTGAGAATTTAGAGCAAATATGTATGTAAAAATGCAAGAGCAATTACTAAATTAGGAAGAATATAAGTTGCCTTTCCTCCAAGCCAGAAGTTTAGGAAATAAGGAGAACTCAATACTTCGTAAGTCAGAAAAAGAGAAGGAAAAATCAAAGCATGAGATGTAGAAAAGTTGAGAATAAGATAACAAATAACTCTTAAGTATATGAGTAAATACATTATTGTAAACAGATTAAGCTCTCCCAATTTAAAAAGGATGCTTAGATTAGGAGGAACGTTAAATTTAAAAGAAACAAAATTAATTCCACAAAAATCAACATCAATTAGAAGGGTGCTAGTGTTTCTCTTCAGTAAAGTCTAATACAGTAAGCAGAATGGTTTTTAATATGCCAGTGGCTTTAACAGTCCAGTCAACTGCTACAGCGTCGTGAACACCCTGATTCATGAAGTTATGTGAGCAGCAAGTGGAATCAGTTCACTAGTGCGTGGAGACCTGCTTGTTGGAGAATCAGCGAACTTCTCTGCAACAGAAAACAACTTTATACTCCCACTTCTCAAGAGAAGCTCTTAACAAGCAGTGATTCAAGGGATAAAGTGTGACTTTAAAGACCTTGGACAAGACTTCTTTCATGATCTTTGACACAGTCTTTGATGCTAATGTAAAAGCAATGATTCATAGCGACCTATGGGCCTCCTTCCCTCCCCAAAGCTGCAGAACCAGATGTATGACCAGGCACTCCAGCAGTTTCAATGGCAGTCCACTTTTCACGGTTTTCTCTCTCCGTGGTCTTCACAGTTTCCACAATGGGTTCACAAAACCAGAATTTTTAAAAAGATTTTATTTATTTATTCTTAGAAGAAGGGAAGGAGAAGGAGAGGGAGAGAAACATCTTTCAGTTCCCTCTTGCATGCCCCCAGCCAGGGACCTGGCCCGCAACCTTGATATGTGTCCAGACTGGGAATCAAACTGGTAACCTTTCAGTCTGGACGACACGCAACCTACTGAGCCACACCAGTCAAGGCAAAACAAGATTCTTGATGGCATCAGCATGCTTTTAAAGGATAAAAAAAAACTAGCTTCATTAAGAAACATCAGAATTTCATTTGGTTACATGCTGAAAGAAAATGGCATAACTTTCAATTCCTTTCAAACCTTAATTTGAGAGACTACAGAAAAAAAATGCCAGTAATACTGGAAGAATAATATCACCTGAAAGAAGCCCTCATTGTTCTGCTCCCGGGCACAAACCAGAGTTCAGAGAGCTTCACCAAGGCCTTTCTGATCCTATTAATTAGCTCTCAAGATTTTGTAAAATTAGGCTTTTGTGTTGGGAAAAATCCAAATTTAGGGAAGGTTCCAGCCTTTCCAATTAAACCACCTTCTTATCAAAAAAGTTCACACTTGTCCAGTATATTTTTCTGGCTGGGAAGACAGAGAGCTTCTTCAGCTTTGTTGGCCTCTGGCTTCTATTAGCAAGAACCTTGCCAGACAAGAAAAAGCATGACTTTGTATCTGTCCCTGCATACTCAGTCTTTAGAGTAAGATCAAAGGATACACAAGGTTTGTCCTACTTTTTCATTGTATTTTTAAAATATTTTTCCATTTAAACTACACTCTGCATAAATAGAGATGGCGTGGTAAATTTTCCTTGATTCTTAAACATGGGAAACTGAAATATCTCCACATGTGTAGTAACAATGATAAATGCACATAGTCAAACAATACACTTTATTTGCCCATTTTTATTGGGTTAGTTTTCTTTGTGGTATTGAGTCATAAGAGTTCTTTATATATTCTGGTACAAGTTTTGTGTTAGATATATGTTTTGCAGATATTCTCTCCCAATCTGTGACTTGTGTTTTCATTTTCCTAAAGATGTTTTTCAATAGGCAACTTTTTAATTTTACTGAAGTCCATTATTATTTTTTTTAATTTTGCACTTTTGCTTGTTGTAGCCTAGCAAAGAAATCTCTTAGCAATGCATTTTATATTTATATTTTATCTATACACTGGATTTCTGTTCATTGCAGTCAAGCTGTGTTAGTGGACAGGACCATTTACGTTTCAGGACAGCTGGGCTTGGACCCTAAGAGTGGACAGCTTGTGCCAGGAGGGGTGGCAGAAGAAGCTAAACAAGTAAGTCCCTCTCCGCCTGTGAAGTTTTCTTCTCTACTACTAAGGAGTATTAAAAATCCGCTTGGGTGGTTTGTTTTGAGAGATTACCAGATACATACTTTTTAAGTTACCTACTGATTGGTTTAAGACAATTGTATGTCAGTAGAAAGTTGGAAATTTAATGAATCATTTAACGGGGGGCGGGAGGAGGAATCCTTCCAAAGTGACTTTTAACCTGAATTATTGGATATTGACTAAATTTATTATGGTATCCATTTCATAATATATCTTTACATCAAATTCTGTTATATACCTAAATTATTTACATACTTAAAACTAATACAATATTTTATGTCAATCATACTTCAGTAGAACTGGGAAGGGGGGCTGGGAATTATTGAAATCAGGTAACATCTTGCTGCTTCCATGAGGAATGGGAAATTTTTTTTTTCCGGGCCACTGACTTGCACAAACGACCCCCTCACTGCAGAATTAAAAGTCAATACCTCTTAGAGAGAAATATCAAAGATTACATGAGGTATTTTTTCTAAGACTGGGGAATACAATCTAATCCAATAAATAGAATTAAGTTATAATTTAATGCATTCACTGAGTCATTTGGAATATCCAAAGACAGATAATAACCTAAATGGCCATCCATAAAGAGCTAGTTAAATGATGTAAGTGAATTGCTTCTTGGCTTTCCTCCAGTGGAATGAATCTTCCTGAAATGTGGTGAGACATTTTCTTCTTTTTTGCATAAAATGATTGGGTCAAAGTCTTTTCCTCAGTGCTAGAATGCGTGAAGTTCTCAGTGCCCAGTAAGCTGAAACAATAATTTCTGGGGTTCCTTATGCTGTCACTTCAATACCATAAATACAAGCTAGCAAGCAAGCATCAAAACATGTTTTCTTTTAAGTAATATTTGATTTTAAAGAGTTCTTTTTCCTTTTTCTCAAAAAAAAATATATGTATGTATATATGTATGTATGGCAGTCTGGCCTTTAGAAAAACATAGTTTTTCATCCTGTCCTTACCTTATTTTTTTCAATTCATTCTTTCCACTTTTACTAGTCACACTATAATGTTTGATGATATTTTTTATTTAAAAAAAAATTAATCTGCCCTGGCTGGTGTGGCTCAATGGATTGAGTGCCCTCCTGCGAACCAAGAGGTCACTGGTTCAGTTCCCAGTCAGGGCACATGCCTGGGTTGGGGTCCAGGCCGCCAATCGGGGGTGTGCAAGAGGCAACTGAATATCCTTACATTGATGTTTCTCTCTCTCTCCTTCCTTTCCCCCCTCTCTAAAAGTAAATAAAATAAAAAATCTTTAAGAAATAAAAATAAAAAAATGAAATAGACTTCCTCTAAATAGGTAATACATAGATAGGATAAAAAATTTCAAAAGCTATAAAAAGCATATACAGTGAAAAGATGTCTCCCACCCTTATTCTGTCCTCCCCAGTGTCCTTCATCACCGTTTCTTATCTATCCTTCCAGAGACAGTTACTGCTTATACCAGCATAAATGCATGTATCCTCAAAACAAAAATTTTTTAACATATATATATGCTCATACGCGCACATACAGATGGTAACATTGTGCATGCTGCTCTGAATCTTGGTTTTATTTCATCATGTAACAATGTATGTTGTAGACCTTTTCATATTAATTTAGTTGTATAGATCTAGTGTGATTTATCTTATATTTATTGAGAGGTGGCCCAGAAAGAGGTGAATTTCCTAAAAAAGGGAGAATTTTTCTGCAACAGAAGCTATTTACGGAGGTATTAGCAAAAGACGATCAATGAATTGAAGCTTTACCATGACATCAGCGCCTTAGGCCTTCCCTGTCTTGCTCCCCAGGCTCTTGCAAACATTGGTGAAATTCTGAAGGCTGCAGACTGTGACTTCACTAATGGTGAGCTGCTCGGCGTTACTGTAATTTCTGTTGGATAGTTCTTTGCTCTTCTTTGAAGAACGCATGACATCCAGTAATTTGTCATGCCACATCTTCGTTGCTTCTTCAAGTAGTTTTAATTTCACTCCCATTTTAATCAAGACAGTCATAGAAACATATACTGTTTGTTAAGTAATCTTTTGGATCAGACCAAATAGCTAAGCCTAATGACAATGTATGTATCTTCTAGTGGTAAAAACAACTGTTTTGCTGGCTGACATCAATGACTTCAGTACTGTCAATGAAATCTACAAACAGTGTAAGTAATCTGTCTTCATTACCATTTTCCATTTTAAAAGAGGAATCTATTAACGCTAATGAATGTGCATTATGAATTAAGTGTGAGAGGAGGTGTTAAAGAAGTGGTCATAGATGTTATCCTAAAAGAATGGGTAGTCTGATGGGACACATCGAGTGTGCCTCCATGAAAAAGATCCTGGGTATTTATACTGTATTCCCTAGAATGATATACAATAACCCTAGGAACCCATTTCCCTGAAGCTTAATCTTGCTATACACCATTCTCGGGCTTTAAACCCTCCTAATATATATATATATATTTTTTAACACAGATTGTATTTTTGCTATGATATGGCCTAGCCACCGTCTCTATTTTGGCTCACTCAGAATCATTAGCTGGTTAGCTACTTAACATTTCTATGCCTTGGTTTCCTTATATGCAAAATGAGGGTTGTCGGAATGCTTAAATGAGTTAGTATACAAACCCATTAGAGCAGCTGCGGGTATGTTGTAGGCACTCAGTAAATGTTGTCTCCACTTATTAGCATTGTTGTCTTAGTGGGGCAAATGGGCGTCCCGACTCACTGGTGAGAGGAGACAGAGGAGTGACGTGGAAGAAGCATCGTTCCTCACTCCGCCCTGGAGAAGCGGCCAGGGACCCGAAGTTAGCGGTGAGAGCGCCCGCCACAACTGCTGGAGATGGGCAGCTGTTTCCTATTTAGATCATTAGTTTCTAGGTATAACTTTAAAAACAAAACTCCTTTCATATCAAACAAGATCAAAGTATCAGAGTACGTGAGTATTTTCATCATTTTTCCAGAAAGCGAAGACATTTTATATCATAGGAGTTGCATGGCGAAGTATTTTATCAAGCAAACGTGAATGTAAGCCCCTTTTTCTCAATGTTGCTTGTATCTAAGAACTGAAAAATCTATGAAGCATTTTCCAGTCTTGATTATCCAGTATTGAGTATAGTACAGTATCTAACACTAAAATTAATTTTTTTTTAAATTTAGATTTCAAGAGTAATTTTCCTGCAAGAGCTGCTTACCAGGTTGCTGCTCTGCCCAAAGTAAGTACACTTTAAGATAACTAATGCACACAATTTTTAATTTCTGCATTGTTTTCTGAATATAACATACTAAGCAATGTAGCAGGAAATTTCTAAAAGGAAAATAAATAGTCCCAGCTTTCCAGGGACTTAAAATCTAAAAGGAAACACCTAATATTACATACATGGGAGAGAAAAATTAAGAAACTTAAGAAATTTTAAAAATTAGTGTTAAAAATTCAGAAAATTAAAAATTAAGGCCACACATGAACACAGCACAGAGTGCTTAAATTGTAAGAAAAAAGTAAAATAGCAGCTCTACTGTTGTAATGTTACTTAGAGACTATAGAAATCGAGCTAGATTTGTGAGTGGTTATTTTAATTATTTTAACTGGTGGTTACTTGGAATTTTCAATGTCATCAAACTTACTAAGATATTAGATACAGAAGGAGCTCTGAACTTGTAATCACAAGATGTGGATTTGAACCTCTACCATTTAGCTTTGTGTCCTGGCACAGGTTAAATAACCTTTCTAAGCTTCAGTGTATCAATCTGTGAATTGAGGAGAGAACACCTGTCTGTCTACTAGAGCTTCTTTGAGAATCACGTGAGCCAATGTATATGAGCGTGATTAGCCTGGTGACCTGGTAAAAAGTTTAATGTTAAAGATGCTGTCTTGCTCTATGTTTTTAGTAGGCATTGTGGAACTCTCCTAATTTTTAAAAAATGATCTCAACATCGCTTCCTTATTTTCCTCACAGGGAGGCCGTGTTGAGATTGAAGCCGTCGCTGTTCAGGGCCCTCTCACAACAGCTTCCCTCTAAGTGGACCGAGTGTCATTTAGCCTGGAATTTTCACAGTGGTTTTAAATTAACATCTTAATTTTTATAATCAATGTTGGAAAGTGTAAGACTGACTAAAATATCAGAAATATTATGGAAATGCCATATAATAAGGGGAATTGAATGTGAATTGAAAATGAGATTAATCCAGTTACTAATATTATAAATTTCACTTATGCACTCATATTACTAGATGTGAGGAGAAAAAGAGAATATACCTAGTTCAATTAAATCCTTTTAATTTAATATTGTGAGATATTTCATCCTCATGTCAGATACATGATTCAGCTTTTACCTGAGTAAAATTAAAGATTTAAATGTGAATGGTAGAGGTAAAGGAGAAGAAAGTGGACCAAAATTTTATACGATTAACATTTTTCTAATGGAAATAAAATAGACATGCAGATTTTCCTTGATGTGATTCTGTCCACTTATTTTTAACAGTTTAATTTCTACACTGGAGCACATTACCTAATTAAAGATGGAGACCATGACGTTAAAACACCAACTTCTTTTTTCTCAAAGCTTTTTTCTAATTTCATACATCTTTACACTGTTGTAATCAGACTATGTGTAACCATTTTGTATTTGTACTTTAAAGTCCTTTAACATTTTTAGACAACTGCTACATGAATACCTCCATGTTGTAGAATAATTTTGCACAAAATTATATAGATTGAAAAGTAACAGTCTCCTTTAGCCACTCCGTTCCACTTACCTCCCCAAAGGGAACCACTGCTAAGAGTTTTGAACGTAACCAAGCAGATAGTTTTCTCCTCATTTCATACCTGGTCATTTAAGTTTGGTTTTGGCTTGTTTATGTAACTGGAACTTTACTGTGCATACAGGGGTGGGGAAAAGTAGGTTCACAGTTGTTCATATGGGAAATAATACAATGATTAATAAGTAATAATACAAGAATAAACTCTATTTTGCATACTTACAACTGTAAACCTACTTTTGTGCCCCACCCTATATTCTATCTATACTCTCTTCTGTCTTGAAGATCTTCCATATGAATACATACAGATTTACCCATTTTAAAAACTGTAACAGAGTATTCTTTTGTGTTGGATAGACTTAGGTGATTTAACCATTTCTCCAAACAATTTGTTTTTTCCAAAATTATAGTCATGTGCCACTTAACAGAGATATATTCTGAGAAATACGTCGTTAGGCAGTTTTGTCATCATGCAAACATCACAGAGCACACTTACAGAAACCTAGATGGTACGGCTCACTGCACACCTAGGCTACATGGTATAGCCTATTGCTTCTGGGCCATATATGCCTATGCAGCATGTGCAGCATGAGATTAAATCAAGCACAAGAGAAATGCAATCAAGAGACGTGATGAACACCCAGTGTATGAGTCTGCTGCCGGTGTAACACAGCACACAGTTTTACAGCAGACTTTTTTTTGGTAAGTACAAAGTGTATACACTCTCTATAATTATTTAAAAGTATAGATAATAAATGCATAAACCAGTAACAGTCATTTGCTATCATTTTCAAGTATTATGTACTGTACATACTGCGCTGTGCTTCTATGTGACTGGCAGCACAGTGGGTGTGTTTACACCAGCGTCACCACAAACACAGGAGTAACTCATTGTCCCACAACCTTATGGCAGCTCTGACATCACTAGACAACAGAGATTTTTCAGCCCCGTTAAATTAAATCTCATGAGACCACAGTTGTATATTCGGTCTGTCATTGACTAAAATGTCATCATGGGACACACGATGTATAAGAGGAATACTGCCTTAATATTCCTCACATACAGATAACATCCTTATATAGACTTATTTTTTCAGGTTATTTTAGAAATTTCATGCTACTTTGAAAAGCTCAATCAACCAAAATATAATATTAAAAGCAGTCAAGAATGAATGGATTTGGGAGTAATTCCAAGGGGGTTCTAGGCCCATAGCTACCACTTAGCTCTCTAACCTTGAACTAGTTATTTAACTTCTTTAAGCCTCAGTTTCCTGAGCGATAATAATTGTATCTTCTCAAAGGGCTGTCACATGTCACATATATATATCATATATATGAAATATAAAATATATGAAAAGTACTTAGCATTGTCTAGCACACAACAAAGGCTCAAAAAAATCTGTCACTATTCAGCAGTATATAATAATTATTAATCATTTGGAATATTGCGCTGTGCTCTTTACATAACTAAATTTATTAAAAGATAAGTATGAGGTCTCACTAGTAGGCAGAGTTCGGGAGTATGGCACTGTGAATTGATAAAGCAAGATTAGGTGCTGAAAATTATTTTAGACATTTTTGCATGAAGCAATATAGTATAGTGGTTAAGGGCATGGACTATAGAAGCCAAAATACAAATCCTGCTCCACCACTTTGAGCAAGTTACTTAAGCTCTCTGTTTCTCCCGTGAAACGTCTCCTCTGTTTCATTGGTAAAATGGGGATACTGCTAGTACCTACCTTACGAAGTTGTAAGGATTAGATAAATTAATATGTATAAAGCACTGAGAATAATGCCTGGCACATACCAATGGTGATCGTGGAAGGTTTTCTATTATTTGGCAATAAAGAGAAATGAGCTATCAAGTCACAAAGAAACATGCATGTTGCTAAGTGAAAAAAGTCAGTCGAAAAGGCTACATACTCCAATTAGTATAAGCAAGCAAAAAAGAAGAAGAAGAGAGGAAGGAAGGGAGGGAGAGAGAGAGGAAGGGAGAGAGGGAGAGAGAGAGGGAGGGAGGGAGGGAGAGGAGGGAGGGAGGGAGGGAGGGAGGGAGGGAGGGAGGGAGGGAGGAAGGAAGGAAGGAAGGAAGGAAGGAAGGAAGGAAGGAAGGAAGGAAGGAAGGAAGGAAGGGAAAGGAAAGGAAGGAATTTATAGGCTCACGTAACAGAGAAGTCCAGAGCACAGCTGGCTGTAGGCTTGCGAGCTCCAGAAACCTCATGGCGCCATCCGTCTCTTAGGCGAAGATGCTGCAGACCCAGACATACAGACTACCAGGGTCTAACCCCAGCAAAAGGATATCATTTCCTGGTATCTCTGGCAGGAGAGTCTCAGAGAAGCCTCTGACTGGGGCAGCTCAGGCTAGGGGCCCATTCCTAAATCAATCACTGTAGCCAGGAAATTAGATACTCTGTCTAGGCAGGGCCAAGGGGGCATAGTTACAGATAGGTCATGACTTCAAATACAAACCCTAAAGAGCCGAAAATTAAATGCTGGTACCCAAGTTAGTTGTCTTGGTAGTGGCTGGGTTGGGATTTTGAGTCTTCTCTCTACACTAAAGGAGAATCACTAGATTTTGTTACCTGTGAAAAGGAATACTTCTGTTAGCCCTTCAAACATACAGAAATAGCTATCTCTTTGAAGTGTGTTATTAAATAAATGATCATGAGATGTCTAAAAAGAGTCACCCAGTTTTCCTGCTACTGTCATATTCTTTACCTTTGACAATGTGAAATTTAAAGAACACTTTTTTTGGAAGGACACAATGAGTCAGAAGTAATTTCAGATGTCCCTGTAATAAAACTCATATAAAAATATACTGAGAAAAGCTTTCAAACACTTTATTATTTCTATTTATTCAACCAAAATTATATTGAGCGAGCAGTACAAAATAATTTTGTAAAAATTTTGTCCATATTTTCCCCTACAGCCAATTATATTTAGTACTGAGGAAACTTTCATGATTATATAAGAATAAAGAACATTTGTTGTCAATACATCTTTACAGAATGCCAACTCTGTACTAGGTCCTTTAGGGCACTTTCCTGCCCTCGAAAGAGCTTACAATCTTTTCTCTAGCATTTGGTCAGCAATTCAAAAGTACTAAAAACATTCCAAATAAAATACTTAGTTTCAATGTTTTTTCCTAAAATTTAAAAAAGTTATTTATCATAAATTTTGGTCAGCTAAGTGCTAATATAATTGGACATAGTTGCTCTCTCTATAGCACTAATCAATACTTAATATATAGCAAGTTCTATTGGAACATTCTCTTTAACCTACTCACTCCAATAGACTCCAGTGAGGAAAATCCAAAAGTGTGGTTTGAGCAGTTCAGTAGACTTAAAATTCTGTTGATATCTGTGTGTTGGCTAACTTGCTATTGCAACACTAAAAATAATAGCCCCTCATATACATCAACATGGTTTTTGACTGATTAAATTATGTGTAATATTTAGATTTCATCTTTTAAGATTTATATTTTCTGAAGTTTGTACCATGAACATGTACTCATTTTATACTAAGAAAAATTATTTTGATAATAAAGGAGTCCTTTGCAATTGTTACCCAAATAACCGCTACGTCACACTCAAATACTGGGATAAAAGTAGTGTTATTTTTATCAAAATGCTTTTTAACCAAATTGTGATGTCCAGAAAACCTGAAGCAAATCCATACTGATCCACTAAATACCTACTAGTTGAAATAAACTATTAGTCTGTCCTCACACTGAATTGGTTGCTTCTTATATGTGCCCCGATCAGGGACAGAACCTGCAACCTTGGTGTGTTGGGACGACGCCCCAACCAACTGAGCTCGCTGGCCAGGGCCAACTACAGTTACTTTGTTTAATTAAGAAAAATTTGAGAACTATCTATATCCTACAAGAAAACAAAAGGCAGATGTCAAACCAAACTTAGTATCCCTGGGTGGTTTCTCAGAACTCTTTTTCTAGAAACTGTTGAGGCTTACAGATCTCTGTCCCCAACAGTTGACAGTGTAGCATGTTTATTCATGCCAGTAGCACATTATTAAACTGAAAGGGTGATTTAGATTAATAGAGTATGGACTGGTCCTTCTTCCACATTCAAAAGTTATTAAAGCCTGGATTTGATGTCTGGAGACTTCTTTGATTAGGCACAGAAATGATATATTTTTAACTGGCAATAGCTCAAGTATTGTCCAATAAATTAGCTGAGTGGTATTTCTGAGGTAAAGCTAAAGGCCTACAGTTTTACTCTGTGTGAATTAGTAATACCAGGGAGTTCCCTAACTTTTGTTGATAGTAACAAAAACTCAAAAGAGAAATCCCACACCTATCAGCTGCTATGAAATTACACTGATTCTGTCTCTGCAATTAAAACCTTGAGATTACACCAAAATGCTCATTAATGTTATAAGCTCTGGGGAGGAGAGGAGCTGATGAAGTTTTAGATTAAATGACGTCTTGTAAGAAATATTTTCAACTTTTCAGACACAGCCATGCCTTGCTGTTTGGTGTGGGGAAAGAAAGAGAACAGGATCATTCTCCTTTTACCTGATTGTTACCTCTGGAACAACTCAGAATTAATTGGATCACCAAATTATCTTTATAAAACTGAGATGCTTGTAATGTTAGATGCTATAACAAGCATAGATATAAACCATACTAGAGTTATTTGACCATAACCATCCAACACTCTTTCATTAGTTAAAGTGGAAAAAACATGTTCCTTTAAAAGCCATTCTAAATCCAAGGCCAAGTGTGGAATAAAGTGTTTGTTAAAAGTGATATGGGGCCCTGGCTGGTGTGGCTCAGTTGGCTGGTGCGTCATCCAGTTACCAAAAGGTTGTGGTTCCATCCTCAGTCCGGGCGTGTATGGAAGGCAACTGATCGATATTTCTTTCTCACATCAATGTATATCTCTCTTTGTTCCCCTCTCCCGTCCTCTCTCTCGAAAAAGCAATGAAAACACGACCTGGGGTGAGAATTAAAAAAAAAAAAAAAAAGTGATATGGGTGTTTTGACTGCTCAAAGGCTATTAGCTATTCTAGGAGTTCTTACTCCAAAGTCTAAATGAGAAAAGCAGTAAGTCACAGGTTGACCACATGCTCCTATCCTGTGAGTCTCCCAAGAGGCCAGATACACAGCCCTTCTGACCAAGAGTTTTGGAATTTGGACCGGGGGAGTTCAATTTCCAGCTGCACCCTCTGCTGGTAAATGCATACGTTCTCTCCCTACTGGGGATGCTGGCTGGCAGATCGTTTGTTCACCATTTCCCTCTAGTTACGAATAGAAAATACTGAAATTATCTTAATATAATACACACTGGGCTGGTAAGTGGCTATTCCAGCACCCAGGATTAGAAAATCGAGTCCCAGTGGTGGTTTCTCTATTAATTCATTATGAACAGCTCAAGCCTTCTGTCCAACTGGTACATTTTGAATCTGGGGGCAAAACTGATAGTCTCTCCTCAGAGACTGGGAACTAAGCATCAGAATGCACGTTGCTATGCTAAGTCTATCCGTCTTAGGCAAAAGAAAAACAGTCTCACACAGGAAAGGATAGATTAGTGATTTTACATGCCCTTTTCACAACTCAAGGGCTAGTAAATTGTCATGTGTGTTTTTAAAAGTGGATATGTAAATATACACTTATATTTTATCATATACATATAGCCTGGCATAGATATTACTTTGTGGAAGTATACACAAAAAACTTTATTATCTTTGTGTAGAAGGACTAAGGGATGTGAGAAAGAGAAGTTCACTACTTATTTTATACATTTCTGTATTATTTCGGTTTTACTGTAGTCATTTATTTGATTTTGTTTTAAAAAATTAACAGATTATTTAGATGGAGTATTTCAATTTTGGAATATTGAAATACTACAAACATTTTAATTTTCTTTGTAAGTTTTGAATAACAATAATAGTATCTAAAAGAATAAGAACAGATTCAAAAAAGGTGTTAGTAACCACGTTAAAGGCCAAAGGCAAAAGTGTAGAAAGTACCATAAATTCATACAAATTTCCAAATTTTTCCTGAGAATAATTTTAGTCATTAATGGAAAATAATGGGATTAATAAAAAATTTGAAAACTTTTACATTACAGCTATGTATCAATATCTTTGAGAGTTCTTTCAAGCATGAGTTCTGAATAAGCCTCTAATACTAGATATTGAAAAAAAAAAAATCCACACAATGGAGAATGATCTTTATGCCTCTTAATGAATCCTACCTACTATGTCAGTACTTGATAAAAGTATAATCCACTTTTTAAATGTGATTGTTCACATTTTACACTAAGCTCTGAAATTTTCTACTTACTAGATATCTATGTAAAAATACTTTTTGATCAGAAAAAAAACTTTGGATTACAAAATATAGCTTAAAATATGCTATACCAGTTCTGATTTATATAACTTTCTGACCTAAAAATACTGGGTTTTTTTTAGAACTACATCAAATATATAGCTTGTTTTTGAGCTTTAGCAGCCTTGGCAGGAAAATGTTAGTGTACAGAAATGCATATTTTAAATATATAATTTTGTAATGAATTAAATGTAAATGGAAACCTTTGGTATTTATTATTCATTTATTGATTCAACAAATACTTATCAAGCATCTCTCATGGTCTGTTAAAGGAGCTAAATGCCTGAATACAAAGATGCAAACAACAGTCCTCGCTCTCAATAAAATCACATTCCAGCTTCTCCACCTAGCAGAAGGAATGATGTCACCTACTCAAGCAACTCCGCTTGTTGGCTACCTCAACTCTTTAAAGTCAAGAACATGAATTAATATTAAAATCAGGACAAAAATGATCATTCTTCCAACTATACCCTATGTTCTTAATTACATAGTAATCGTTTGAATGCAGAAGCTGAGCAACAATCTTAAAATATATATATATATTTACAAATAAGATAAAGAAACCAAATGTTTCCAGAACATAAGTCTATCCTGCTATTCACAAACATAGGCACTCAACGATGGGCGAGATTGTTATCATTATTATCATTCACATATAAGCACTTACCAAAGTCTCTTGACAACTTTGGAAAAATTCTTCAAAAGTGACTTTCTATTATGGTGCATCATTTAATAATGAAATGTTATAAATGGTTTTAAAATCTTGATTTCTTACCTCTTTTCCACCTCTAAAGCCTAATATTAAATCACAATAATCAAAAAGAATTGGGCCCAAGGAATAACTCCACGGGAGCAACAAACCTGGGTTTTAATGATTGCTATTTGTTGCCTTTGAAATGCATTTAAAAGTCAATTAATTTAAAATAACTTCAATGTCAAAAGGGTAACAGCAATTGAAACACTTCACATAAATGTAAAATTAACAGATTCAAAATGGCACATGGAAAATGTGTAGCCTTTCACTGTGAAAATGCCTAATCTTGCAACAGCAACAGAGCTTGAACTCCTTTGACAAGGATTTTGTTAACATATTTAACAGGATGAATAAGGCTCTACAGTAGTAGACAGACTTAAGGGGAAAAGGCAATTCGATGACATACTTTCTACTAGCTTTAAATTCTGTGCTAGGAAAGACATCCTAGGTGGATGTGTAGTGGGCCATTCTGCTGTTCATCCTCATTCTGTAGTCGTCATAACTGTGTGACTTTATTATCCTGAGCTCCCTAAAATTCACCAACTCCCTCCTCCAGCCGCCTATGCCTAAAGGTTTATACTTTCATTTTAGGATCTCATTTTCTATACTAAAAGGACCCAATGCCACAGTGAAACAAACACCCTCAAACTCTTAAATGATCACAAACCCCAGTTGTTTTTGACTGGCTATTGTCTTTTTAAAAGTATATTCTAAGTAGCTAAGAAAACAGTTTACAGCTGAGTCATTTTACGGAGCACTGTAATCAAGCACATGATAATCACACTCATATAAAACATGCAGGCCCTGAGAGCCAAGCTCTGAGACCGCAGCCTCTCTCCCCTTTGCTGCCCTCTGTGACCGCACTCACGCCCATCGCCCTCCTCTCCGCATGCCTATCTATGTGGCTGCTGAAAGATCCACGGCTTCTCCCGTTTCTTCTTCTTTTGTTTCAGCTTCTTCACTTACTTCCTCCCTCTCTGTTTCTACCTTTTCTCCGGTCTCACCTGTAAAAGTGACCAAAGGAGATATTAAGAGATGCTTATGTAGCATTGACAATAAAATACCCACAGCTGGTTTCCAGTGGGGCCAGCTCTTAATCTTTACGTCTAAAAAATAAGTTTTTCAGGTGGTTTCAAGAAAGGCGATCACCCTGGTTCTCTCAGATCCTCTGAGCGCCAACGACAGTGCTTCAGAGCCTGGACACTGCACATACACGTCTGTTTCCCTAAGAAGTCCACCTGGGTAACCTTGGCCCCATGCTCATGGGCGGAGGTGAGCAGCAGCTACCTCTTTTGATGGGACCACACTCCTATTCACCAAGGTCCCCCTGGGCTCCACATGACATTCCATGTGCCCCTCACTTCACTCCCTGTCATTATCCTAGGCCCTACAGACTTGAGTTTGCCCGCCCTGGTTTAACAAATATGTGTTTTTTTTTCTTGCATCTCCCTTGTTATTCCCAGAATACTTTTACACACCTTAATTAAAGTGCTTACCTTGCTAGATTCTTTAAATTCCTCCTTCTCCCCACTAGCCTGTGACCCCGCTGAGAACAGGAGCTATGTCTTACTCCTTCTGCACCCTTAGCATCTGGCACATGATGAAGCACACAAAAGCTGCTGTGTTAATAAGTGAAAGGATTAAGAAACAGATGGACAAATGCTTCACTTAATTATAGTGTAAAGCTAGAATTTGCCAAAATGTAAATCACACCCCAGAAGAAGTGTTATCTTTTTTATTATAAGTCCAACAATGAACAGTGCAGATACCATTTGTTTCATGCTGGTAAAGTACATTTAAAAAACACCATATGCCAGGACAATACATTTTTCTCTAGTCTCTTAAAGGTAAAAAGACTACAGGAGGACAGGTGCAGAGTGATGGTAATGTTCTAAGGCCAAGACAGGCAAACATGAAAGTTACACTCCAAGAGCCACTGCTTGTGTAGTCCTTCATTAGGTGGTCAGTTCCCCCGCTAACCCTCTATTCGTCTTTACTTTGGATCTTCATAACCGCGCATGGGACCCGATAAAGAACGAACTTGGAACAATTCAGAAATTTTAACAAGTTGCCTTCTATTATTTAGAACATTTTCAGTTCTATTCAATGATGAAACTCTAGGTTAAAAATGTGAACGCAGACTATGCTTTAGAAAATGTGGCTGGAAAGCCAAACGCCTGTTCCCCAGGTATGGAAGCCTTTTTGGAGTGGGCCAAATGAACTTCAGCCACCTGTAATAGAAACTCCAGTGGCTGTATGTGAGCCACCCCCTGTCCCCAGAGGTGACCTCTTACAGAGCCCATCTAAACACCCTGAATCTTCACTTCAACAGCACAACCCTTACCTTCGGTGTTGTGGTCCTCTCTGTCAGTGTGAGTTTTCCTGACCACCTCCCTGTCTGGGCCTGGGTCCGGTGTTCCTGCTGGATGCTCCATGCTCCCAACTGCTCCTTCAGGCTGAATGTGCTGCACGTATCCCGGACCTTCAGGAGTTTTATGAACCAAATCATTCTTGACAGCTGTTTTCACAAGCTGACTTCTTACCGGTATTTCCAGAAATCCTGTTTCTTTGGGCATTGTCTCTAGAAGTTGGGACGGCTCGTCTCTTCCCAGAGTTTCTTGAAGCTGATGCTCTTCAGCTGTTTCAACAAGCTGACTTCCTTCCAAAATTTCTGGAGCTTCAGTCTCCCTGGGAACAGTTTCTAGGAGCAGGGGCTTTCTCATTGCCTCCTGAGGTTGCGGCTCTCTGCCTGCCTCGGGAGGTGGGATCTTGTCAGCTATTTCTAGAGGTTCCATCTCTCCGGCAGTGAGCAGAATCTCAGTCCCACCTGTGGCTCCAGGAGAGGCCCCCTCGCCTGCTGTCCTCAAAGGCTGACTCTGGGCTCCGGTCCCTGGAGGTTCAGCCTCAGCATTTCCTTCCGAAGGCTGGGTCTTTGTCACTGTTTTCACGTCTTTCTTTTCTTCTGTTCCTGGAGTATCATGTGTGCCACTTGACTGAAGTGGCCTAGGCTCCTTGGGCCCCTCCAGAGATTGAGTCTTCTCCCTGGATCCTGGTGGCTCTGCAACCTCCTTTGCCAGGGGCCGTTCATAGAGGGATTGAATACCATTAGCTGTAGACGCTGCTGAAATCTTGAGCTTCTCTAGGGGAGGGAGGCTTTCCTTTTGTACCTTGTCATAAATAGTAGCTTCTCTTCCCAGTGGGAGTGGTTTGGGTTGGACAAAGCCAGACTCACCTTCTGTGATTTAAAAAATACATATTTGAAGTTACTTTTTGGTTATTCATGTGAAAAGTAAAAACACATTATTGTTTAATTTCTAACTTGAGGAAGTATATTGCTATCAAGGAGTAGATTTAAGTTGAGGACAGTGCTGGGTAGAGCTGAGTACAGAGAGGCCAGGCCATGACCTTGACACTCCCTAATTCAAATCTCTTTACTGTCTCCAGCTCCAACACCGCATCTTAAACATTAAGGTCCTCCAACATCACAGGTATTTTTTTTTCCTCTTTGCCCCCTATGCATCTTCTCATGGCTCCTGTCTCATATTCTACTTTAGTACATTTTGTTTTCTCGTGTTCTTGCCCCTGTGCCACCCTTCCTCCTCCTCAGCCTTAGTTGAAGATGTCCTCATGTGTGGTCCTTGGGCTGCTGGAAATGTCTCACTTTCCTCCTTAAGCAGAATGAATGACCCTTAGAGCAAGGAAGAAGCCCCACCAGGTGAAGACTAAGATGTCTGAGAAGGAAGGTGGCATGTTCAGGGCAGCCAGAAAGTTTCATTTCATTTTTAGGGCAAAGTGGGAAGAGAAATCAAGAGAGAGCTGGGAAACATGCGTTTTCATTATGGCGCTTCCTCCAGCTGCGTGACCTGGGAACTCAGTTCCCCAAGATCTTGTCTGAAAAATGGCAGTGACTCTGTCTCCCACCTGTCTCAGAGCCGCGTGAGCCATCACCTCGCATTAAACAATGGATGCAGAAGTCAACGTGGCAATGTGTTTATACTCTTTGACCCGTTGATCCTACTTCTGGAAATTTATCCTAAAAGCATAAATGTCAGGAAAATGCTTTGGGGAAAAGGATATCATCCCAGTATTCTTTATAATAGCAAAAGCTGGAAAACAACTTAAACGTCTAAAAATTGGGGGAAAAGATAAATATTCTGCTGGGTGAAATAGTGTTCTACCATTAAAAAAAAGTGATGATGAAGGCTATATGCTAAAATAAGAAATTATGATATATGTTAAGAAATTAGTACTCACAGATGTTAATCAAGTTAAATAATGCATATAAAGGGTTTATTAGCACAAGTTCTGCTGTGCAATTAAGAGCTCATGCAGTCAGCTATCATTTTATATACAGCTATATGTATATATTGCATATATCAATGCTGGAAGAAAGGAAGGGAGGGAGGAAAATCAAATCACAGATGGAGGGGGAAATATTGGAAGAAAATAAACCAACACATTAAAATGAGCCTCTAAGTGACATACTTCTTCTTCTATATTCTTTTCCAGAGATGGTTTTTCTTTTTTCATTTTTTCCCTAAGTTACCCCCTACCCTGGCTATATATATGCATATATTAAGAATTGTCTGCTTATCTAAAGTTAAGCTATACAACTAATTCTTAGGTCCCCTCTTCAATCACCCCTTCTCTAGGGGCAAATATTTTCATTATTTCACCTATTTGGGAGAGTTTTTTTTTTTTAATGTATCTCTAAGTGAATAGCTATTTCACGACTTTTCAGCTTGGGCATTTCAATTAACTCCCACTATGGAAAATAAAGACTCAGCTCTTTTTATTCCTTCCCCTGTCACCCCCACGCTCTCCCATACACATTCACATTTCCTTTTGATTAATTGTATATTAGTAATTATTTAAAATAGTAATTATGTTGTAATCTGGGTTGTATCTATGTTGTTATACATACGTATAACAAGAATGTCTGCTTGGGAGAACTGAGCCATATAGTACACTATTTGTGTAAACATCTTTTGTTTTTAATAATTGTGTGGTTCTTTACTTCATTGGTTTGCGTGTTATCATTAATTCAACTCACTGCCAATTGTTTTTCTTCTTAATACATTTATTCATGTCAAGCCCTTTCCCACCCTGCCTCCTGGCCTGCAGAGGAATCAGAGCCGGAGGCAGGAGAAGCAGAGCTCAGAGAGGATTTCGTGAGGTGCAGGGTGGCTGCAGGCTGCAGGGGTCCACGTGGCGGCCCTGGAGGGCGGGCTGCCCTCCACCTCCCCTCAGGCCTCATCGTGAATGAGGCTGCAGATCAATACCGTGCATGGTAACTTAACCAAAGTGATTTCTCAGGTCTGTAAAGAAATGTGTTATGACAAGGCAATTCATTCGTATATCACATGAAGGATGTCCTCATGATGGCTGTCTTAGAGAATTAACAGGGAAATGTGCTAATGAACTAATCACAGACATCTGCCAAATTATATTTTCTGGTAAAATAGTTATTACAGTGATGAGCGCTGTCAGTTCAATCCAGCTGTCCCAGCCCTGGGTGCAATCTAAAAGCATCATTCTCTCAGCAGAAAGCAGTGGGGGGAAAAATGTGTCGACACCCAAATCATAGCCATGTAATTTTATATTTGTGAAAAATATATTAGATTATCAGTCTAAGTCAAGTGTTTTCCCCAAACCAGAAGCTTAAGTGTCCAAGGGATCTCTCAGTTTTTACCGTAACTAGAATATTCACACCCATGATCACAATACCAATTTTCATTCTTACGTAGTTTTCCTAATCTTAATGGTATACCCAATGTAGGCAAACATCCTTAGCATATAATATTTTTATAACACAACCTGAAAATAGTCCACCAAGCTGGGAAATATTACAAAAGAATATTACTCTCTAATATTTTTCTGGAGTAGCCCAAAGGTGTTAAACCATCTTTAAAATGATCACCAAAAAAAAAAGAAAAAAAAGAAAAAATGCTGTAAGTGTAGTGACACATTCATTTTGCAATTTATATTGATTAATTTGAAATGTATTTTGGAGGTAATAGTTCCTAGTTGTTTAAAAGTTCCTTTTCCAATGTGATAGAAGAAAGCAATCTGCTCTAAAAAAGAGTACAGAGATCTTAGGACCTTGAAAATGAGACCTGTAATGTTTGAATCCTGGTTCTTCCACTTACTAGCCTCACTAAGCTTCTTGGCATCTAAGTTTCATCACCTGCAGAGCTGTTGTGAGGATTACATGAGTTAACACCTGGAAAGCACCAGCACAGCGAGTGGCACCCACCAAGTGACAATCAGCTTTAGCCATCACTAGTCTTATACTCCATACGATAGCCCTAGCAAGGAAGAGACTAGGGTAGAGAAACAGAAAGGTCAGGTAATTCCAATCATTGTAGGACTGGTATCTTTCTCTGAGTCTGTTCAGAAAAGAAGAAAGTTCAGAGTAAGGAAATGAAAATGTCGGAAAACAAATGTTTGTCTCAAACCATCTCTCGGAAAATGCAACAATCAAGTCTACAATTACCATTAACATTTCCTTTCAGACACCAGACTGCAAATTCTTCAGAATGTTTTCATCCCCAGCTGCTGTGGAAAGTACAGTTTTTGGATTCATTTGACCTCCCTCCTCTTCAGCTGGAGCAGAGCATTGCAGATTTTCTGATGTTGGGTGTAAATCCTGATTCCATCTTTTTTTAAAAGAACCTATTTATTTATTTATTTTTAGAGAGAAGGGAAGGGAGGGAGAAAGAGAGAAACACCAATGTGTGGTTGCCTCTTCTGCGCCCCCCACCAGGGACCTGGCCTTGCAACCCAGGCGTGCACCCTGACTGCGAATTGAACCAGTGATCCTTTGGTTTGCAGGCTGGTGCTCAATCCACTGAGCCACACCAGCCAGGGCTGATTCCATCACTTACAGAACTGGGCAACCTAGGGAGGTTCCTAACCTCTCTGAACCTCAGTTTTCTCATCTGTAAAATGAGGATATTATGTTTGCCTTTCAGGCTTGCTAGGAGAATTGACTGCGGTGATAATGTGTGTAATTATGCAACATGGCGTGTGACACGAGAAGGTACTCAGTAACCCGGTGTGGCAACAGCCATGAAGGTCTCTTGCTGCGCAAGGGTGTCCTGCTGAAGGGGAGAGGGAGCCTGCATGCACCTGCAAGGTCACATGTGTCAGGTGGAAAGGGCTTCTTTTTCTAATTTCACAAAGGTCCTTTGTGGGCTAGCAGCAGCCCTGTCAATAAATTATAACTGACTTTGCAATAGAAAAAAGGAACCCTATAAAGCTGTCAATGTTGACCTCTAAAATTCTGTTGGTACAATGATCATTTTTAAAAAATGACTGTTACACGGAGACCTGTGGCAGGTATTGATGTGATGTGATTTCTGCCCTGTGCTCTGAATATCACAGTGAAGAAATTCAATGATGCGTGGGTCAGTGGCAGAAGTAACTATGACTCAAACAAAAAAATAAAACACGATTGTTAATAGATTATGGAATAGGATTCATAATATCAGCCATGATTTGACTGGACTTGACTGACATTAATACGGGCCACTGACAGCTTTTTTAATATAAATAAATACGTTCCATTGTCGGCTTCGATTTCATTTTATTCATCAAACATTCATCAAGTGCTTGCTGCATGCCAGCTCCGGGCTGAGCACAGGGGTTACAGCAGGTAACAAGGAAGATCTGGTCCCTGCTGTCCTAGCATTTACCGTCTGCAGGGAAATTCAAATAATAGCTACTTCCCTCATGAAGCCCAGCTTGGTACGCATTCATCACCTCTTACCCAAGGATCTCCACATGCTCTGTCCCCAAGGTTTTGTGAATCCTTGACACACCTCCTTGAGGCAGACGGTACTAACTACATCGTTTCTTCTAGCACTCTAACTTGAAAAGCAGCGACATTCTATGCCTACTCTGATTATGTAATAAATATTGAGGGCAGATGCACTGTTTCCACATCCAAAGTTATTTAAAGATGTGTCTGTTTTCTGAACCCAACATTTTATCAAATCATTCACTGCTCTGGGCCTAATCCTCTGGGGCTCATTCCCTCTCTTCATTCTGCTGTGACTTGATCCATGCACAAATTTCTTGTGACAGCTGAGCTAACAGAAGTCTGGTTGCAAGCAGTTGTGATAGGCACACAAAGAAATTAAATACTAGGCAATATTACAGAAAGGAGGAGAACTAGAGCTAACATACCTGAAATTCACATTATGGTAGAAACTTATCAACTCAGTTCATTACGCTAATCAGAAATGAAAACTTTCTATCCAACAAGGAGAAAAACCTGAGGTCAGTATTTC